GGATGGTTTTTTTGCGGGTGTGTGGGTGTGGATGATGAAGGGGGGGGAAGGGAGGGGGAAGGGAGGGGGAGTGAAGGGAGAGGGGTGAATGGAAGGGGGGGTTGAAAGGGAGGGGGGTTTGAAGTTGTTTAGGTATAGGGCTGGTGTTTGTGGGTTTTGGGACGATTGATTAATTTAGTTAGTGTTGTGGTGATTCAGGGTTCGGTCTTGTTATAGATTGCACTTTTATTAGATAGATAATAGACGTAGTGTAATGGAAGTTTATTATATTGTAATTATACAACATAAGCCCAATAAGACGACTTCTGAAACGCACTTTGTTCCTCGCAGCGAGCGCTTGAGTTTGCTTATTACCTCGTTTAATACATAACCAAGACGCAGCAATCCCATCCCTTTTCTTTCCGAACTCCAAACCCCTCCCCTCCCAAACCCCCCTCACTCTCCTAAATACAGATACAGCACTCCTTCTCATGATCATCTCCCTCGGCAGAAAAAGTAGTATAATGGACGTAATCCGTGTTACTATCTACTAACTCACCCGCGTTTTAGTGTAAAATCGGGGGGGGTTTGGGGAAATGATATAGTGAGATAGATGGTTTAGTTTTGGTGAGTTGATGATTTATACATGTTAATGTAATTTTAATATACTCAACCCAAGCTTCTTGTTTCGTAAACAACTTCCTACTCAACACCTACCACCCCCCATGAAAACCCCCTAACCAACCCCCTCCCATCCATCTCCTTCCACAACCCCTTCATCTCCTTCCCTTTCCACCCCAACATCAAACCCGCCTTTCCATCCAACTACCCGTACTTTCCTCACCTTACAGCATACCATAGTCCGAGACTCAAGATCTCAAAATCCGGTGACGGGAAACGTGGCACTTAAACAGACGGATTGGGTCTGTTCAACGTTGTTATATAACGTAGATTAATATGAACCTCAACTAGGCTTCACACCGCGCGCGTGGGAAAAGTTTGATACGCGCATCCCAAGATTGAGAATGAGAATAAAGTCTTTGAGAATAAAGTCTTTGAGAATAAAGTCTTTGAGAATAAAGTCTTTGAGAATAAAGTCTTTGAATACCACGACTTGTCAGTGTGATCAGTGTGATGTTGCTGATACGTGGTTGTTGCAGTAAACTGTTTGAGAGAAGGTTTAGGTTTGGATGTTGGGGTGCGGGTTGTGCGGAGGATTTTTGTATACTAGTGATGTGGGGGATTTGCGTGGGTTGGGAGGGATGGATAGGGGGGGGAAGATGGGAGGAGGGGGGGATGTGATATAGAATCTTAATTTAGTTGAGGAGATTGTAGGTGTAGTGAAGATATTTAGATAGTTAGACTAGAGAAATAGAGGTTCTGAGAGAATATTATTAAACAAGATTTAGTGCTAAATAGTCTTAGATTATTTCTTAGTTAGTAATATGTAATTTAATGTAGAGAAGAGGATTTAAGTTAGGATGACAAGTATTTAATATCGATAGCGAGGTTTTAAGGGGAGGGTTTTATGCGAGAGATGTTAGGAGGGTTTAGATGAGAGGGGAAGAGTAAATAGGTAACTGTATTTTGAAATTCTATTTAGAAGATAAGATATAAATATAACGAATAAATTATAGGTGTTAGAACGAGCGCTTTCTATTCTAGTTAAAATTCTATGTCTATAATCTATACGCCTAGTTATTTAAACCCATTCCCGTTCCATGTCCTCATCTCATCCCATCCCTAAGCCACCTTACAACCCCCCCTCCCAAATCCCACCACTATCACATACCCCCCTCCCCCCTCCACGAGCCCCTAAAGAGGAAATTCTTCAGCGAGATTCAAGACATGTCGAGCTTCAGAGATAGGAGTAAAAGAGTTAATATATATTGTAATTCCGCATATAAGATATAGATATAAGAAAGAAAAGCTATAGGTATCATAACGAGCGCTTCCAGTTCCTTCCCACACCCATATCCCTATTGTCTGATCATTCAGATCCGCTTTCATTTCATTCCCATCCCATCACCCTCCCCCCCCACTTTCCAACCTCCCCCTAACTCCCACCACCACCACCACACCCACCACCCCCTCCACCACAACCTCCTCCCCCTCCACACCCCCCACCAGCACCACACCCACCCCCACTCCCACACTGTCCCGCCCCCCCAGCACCACAAACCCCCCCAGCAGCCGCAACCTGACTACACGTCCCGCCCGCGCAACTCCCCGCCATCCCTGCCCCAACAGCCATGCTCCCAGGATCGCCCGCATAATAAACACCTCCATACATCGGCACCGCCATATACGGTCCATACATCAGATACGGATATCCCCAGGGACCGTAGTAATAATCCTCTTTCGGCGGAATCTTACGCCCCTTCGCCTTCGCTCGTGCTTTCGCTTTCTCGTATTCTTTGTCGAGTTCGGCCTTCCGGCGAGCACGGAGACGGTCGAGCACGAGACTCCTAGCCGTGTCATCAAGAGCGCGAACGGCGTTGTGGGTGCTGATATGTGCGGAGTTATCAGGGGGGCAGAACTGGGCGGCGGAGTCGTGGAAGGCGTTATTCAGTTTCTCGGATTTGCTTGTGCCAAATAACCGCGGGCCAGAGTGGCGGGAGCGGATGACTTCGCAGTACCAGCATGTGCATTCAGAGTAGATCTCACCATACAGTTTCTCGTAGGTCTTAGAGGTGAATTCGAAACCCGTTTCGAGCGCGTCTTCGGAGACTTTGTCGTCGTGGTCGATGAATTTGCCGGTTAGGGAGGTGGTGTAGGTGAAGTAGGTTTGGGGGGAGAGTTGGGCGGTGTGCCAGGCGAGATCTACGTCGAGGGTTGGGACGCAGACGTGCATGGCATTTTCGGAGAGGATGGTGATGAAGCGGGTGTATTTGAGGATGAGTCGTTCCATGGTTTGGGTCGCTGCTGGGCTGTGTAGCCAGTCTAGATTCTTCATTTTTTCGATGAAAACACCTTGACGGATGACTGCACCGCCGAGTTCGAGGGCGAAGATGGAGGTGTTTTCCCAGTATCGTGCCATCATGAGACGGATCGCTACTCGTTCGTCTCTACGTAGATATCCTGGTTCCGTGAGCTTTCTGTTGTTAAGCTTCCTGATCAAGTCTTTGTTCGCGACGGCATTTTCGATTAGAATCTTGACGTCGTTCATAGTTGGATTTGCTCGTTGCGGACTGATCAGATCTAGGATCTTGGATCGAAGTTCTATACCGATCAGTCGGTTTGGAAAGTGTAATGCTGCGCTGTTCATTGGAAGGGTACCGGCTGCGTCAGGTAAGCCAGTGTTGGGGGTGAGGATAGTTCCACCAAGTGGCCAGTCTCTCATGATGAGATTCTCTGTTTCCTTTCTGAACTTGGCGACTCGAAGAAGATCATGATTGACATAACCACTGCATTTGTGGCAAATGTGCGAGAGATCTCGATCACCATAACCACTTCCTTCAATCTCGTTGATCCTAGAAAATCATTAACATAGTTCATCTCCAAGGCGTCCAAAACTCACTCTTTCTCCGAAGGCTTCTCACTCAACCCACAACTCGTCCACGGAATCTCCAGCACTTGCTGACACCTCGGACAATTAAGTTTCTTCACCAGCGAATCCTCAGCATTATCCCAATTCAATCCCGTAGCAGCCACAAACGCCTTCTTCGCCTCTTCCCCCACAACATAATTGCACTCAACATCAATCGCTTCATTCACAACCTTCCAAGGCATCCCCGTAGCCCAAAGATTCGGCACCCCAAACCGAATACAATCCTCGAGATAATTCCGCGGATTCAACATAAACGCATGCCAAACCATCAAAACATCTACCCCGGATTAGCCCTCTTGAACTCCCTCCATAAAACAGAATATGAACATACCAAGCGGCGGCACCATCTCCCTCCCCCACTCCAAAGGTCTCCCTCTACTCGTAAACCCCGTGAAACTCTCATTCCCCGGCTCCACCTCCTTACACTCGATCCTGCGCGACCCATCCAGCGGACACAGCACCTTGATCCACCACTCCTGGAACCGTTCCACGGCACGCGCAACGTATAACGCCCATCGCTTCTCCCGCAATTTACTCAGCGTCTCGTCGCGGGTATCTGCTAACTCTGCTTTGGCGTCCCAGATCCCGAAGAGGCCGTCGGTGTAGCCGATGTCGAGTTTGAGTGCTTGGATTGCGTGCAGCAGTTTTAGGTGTGCGAGACAGGTTGAGGGGGTTGGGAGGGAGACGGGGTGAGGGGAGAGGGTGAGGGTTGCGAAGGAGGAGGTGAGGTCTTGGGGGGTGGTGTCTTGCGGGGTGTAGGTTGGTGGCTGATCGTTTGTCGATGTGCTTGCTGTGAATGATGGTGGTGGAGATTTGTCGTGAGGTGGTGTTGGTGGGAGGTTCTCTTGTTTGGAGGGGACTTTGGTGAGTTTCGAGGAGAGCTTCTCTCGGAGAGACATCTTGGGAGGTTTGTTGTGATATCCTATCTGTATCGTGGACGATCAAGACCTTACTTTCGAAGACTTGGCTTCCCTTTATACAAACAAAATTATTACTCCTCTACTCAGCAACACCATGAATCAACTCACTCGTGAATTTCCTCAACGCGGGGTCCACCTTCCCATCTATACTCCGCCCCTCCTCAGCCCTGTCCTCGCGATGTCACCTCTTCCCGTCCACGTGATTGTAAATCCGGGGGCTGAAGCGACAAGCGAGGCACGAGCAAGCCAAACACGGCACGAGTACAACCACGCTAGAATTCGAAAATCACGCTAGAAGCCAAATCGAAGCAAAGGCAACCAGATAAGCACGAAGCTTATTGGGCGTCCCTCCCACCTGACTGGTTCGTTATACGTGGTGCGGGGCTGGGCAGTGTGTCGATCTACTTGAGGCTTAGTGCAGATCTTGCAGGAGGGATGTCACGTGTGTGAGGCAGAAACATGGGGGACTGGGTGACGCAATGGGATGCGTAGTGATTGTGGGATAGTTTTTGAGTGGATGGAAGGGTTAAGTTTGAAGTTAGGCGATGTGTAAGGCATATTTTAATGTTGCCTAGGAATAAAGGCTTCGTCAGTCGAATGACACCTGGAGGGAGATTCGCACAATCTTGATAAGGCTTCTAGATGTTGATTTTCACCTTGCGTGGTTTTGAGGGAATTTCCAGGGACATGGTGATGGGTTTGTTCAATTCGTGTATCCCTCACGATATTTTGCCTGTTGGGCGTTTTGGTGACGACGACGAGCCGAGATGTAGCATGCAGGCAACGATGGGTGATCGCTCTTTCCTATCTCGTGAACATCAACCGTAGACGTTCAAAACCTTCACGAAGCCAGCGAGTCTTTTTCAGCTGCCTCGATATCGTACACACTATTGAAAAAAACAAGACAAGAACATTTCTATTGTATCTAGAGTACTTCCAACACAATATCCTACAATGCACAACCACCACATTAAACATTACATTACTCCTATTCCCACACCCTCACTCCATCGCCAACCTCTCCACATCCCCCTCAGTCATCTCCAAAGGACCCTCAACAATATCCTCCTCCCAATCCTCCCCATCATCCCCGGTCACCTTTGAAGGACCCTCACCATCATCCCCAGTTACCTTTGACGGACCCTCACCAACAACCTCCTCCTCCCAATCTCCGCCCTTACCCGCCTCACAACTTTCATACCCACCCTTCTCCCACTTTACGTCCTCCTCGAATCCAGAATCGCGCGCTGCCAGCTTAGGAACCGTGTATGCCTCGGCCCATCCACCTTTTAGCGCAGGGACACAGAAATAGTTATCCACCGGTGGAAAGTACGAGCCGGTGGTATCATTTGGATCACAGCAGGTAGGCGGGACGCCCAACGAGGGGGTGAGGAACGTCGAGTTGGCAAGCTCGCAGAACGCTCTCGCCCATGTGTCATGCCATGTGTTCTCGTCGCTTTTCCCAGAGCACCTCATGGCCGCGACCTCATAGCTCATGCGTCGAACATGAGCATTATTGGTGACCTTCGCAGAGGACTGGAAGTGCGTGGGGCAGTGCTTGCAGATGAGGATTACGTTATCGACGTCCTCTTCGCAGAGGTCGATGAGTGAGATATCGACATCGAGACGCTGGGAATTGACTCGCGCGATGTGTGCGACTCCGCGGCCTTCTTGTTTGATATGCTGGGAGCAGACGTGTTGGCAGAGGTCGAAGTGAGGGAGGTTGAGTTCGTTGAAATCCTCTGGGATCCTGTCGCTGAACTTGACAAATTGGGGAGAGAAGTCGACTCTGAAAATGAGTTTGACCAATAAAGCACAGTCGATAATCCGGGCCACTGTGAGACGCGTGATCTTCGCGTTGGAATGGATGACTGTGGTGATTTTGCTTAGTTCTTCGAGGTCCACTCCCACCTTCGAGCTTTCAAAAAACATCATGGTGTTATGAATTCGCAGATTGGAGCTTGACAACTTGTTGCCGAATGGTGGGAGGTTCTGGTATGGAGGTCTTCCAGGCATTGCTGGTGGAACGCGATTCATATTCGATGAGGAGTGCTGGCCCTGGGGAGTTTGAGAGGAGCGAAGCATTTGAACGATTGGATTTCGTGGGTTCGCGATAAAACGATGTAACGAGTGATGAACTTGGTACTGTTTTCGAGAAGGAGATAAACAGTTTGAGGGCAGAAGAGCAGATTATATCAACTTCCTGGTGGGGACAGAGCTGGCCGAGACCTACCGTCGTGTCTAGCGGCGGTTAGGTGAGTACCAACGGAAGAAAACCAGAACTATTCCAGATCAAGCCAAACACGAGCATAGCAAGCTGTCCTGGCCAATGAGAAACTAATGCTTAAGCTGGACTTGAAGCTATTGTGAGGTCATAACACAACAATCATATAAGCACAACCAACTAAGGATACCCCCCCCCCCCCCCCCACCAGGAACGCTTGTGACACTGGCCTCGACATAGGTTTGGTAACGGCAATGGAACTTTGGCTGCATTGGCAGAATTTTATCAATTGATTGTCCATGATATAACATAACATCATAAGTCTGGAAATGGTTCCATTCCTGGCGGCGTGGGTGTCGTTGGCCTCGAATTGACTTCGGGTACTCCACCCAACGTTGACCGACTACGCTGCTTCCTCATTTTTCCCATTCCCTGTGGTGTGGCCAATGTATGGCTCCTATGTAATCGCCCAAGAAGAGGATCACGAAGACTTGGAACGGATGTGTCTATCGGACTGAATGGTGTTCCCGATAATGGACTGTATGGGCTAGTCAATCCAATCGGGCTCATGGTACCCGATATCGTCAATCTTCTCCTGCCCGTGTTGATCTGTTCCATGATGGGCGCTGGCTTCTCTGGTGCTGGAGGGAGGTAGAGCTCGACAGCCACCACCGCAACATAGACAAGTGCGACACCCAAGGTAACAAGATCTAGAATGTGAACAAGCCACCAGATGTGTTGAGTACCCAGACCACAGGTGGTGAACTCGAACTTCCAGTCCCAGGTCTCTTCGTCGAACCACAAGCTCAAAAGTCCAGCGTTTCCAGCATAGCTACCCATCATACTCCTCACGGTGATCTCTCTCAGACCAGGTATTCCGGGTTGCTCATCTATTCGCGCAGCCACAGCATCTTTCCAGCGCATGGCTTCCCATTCTTGCTGAGGTGGTGCTGTCTGATTGATATAATGATAAGTGTCGCAACCTTCATGATCATGTCCAGTAAGAATGAGACCTCCCCGGCCAAGTCCTTGACCAGGAACACTGGTATCGGCGTTCATACCAAAAATACCCTCAGTGAACCCCTTCGAGGCAGGCGCAGATAAATGATTCTGTTCTTTCACACCAAAACTGAAATCACTGCCGAAGAAGTCGAAAAATGGCCCATCAACACAAATTCCATCTTTCTTGTGCATAGGTATATGCGTCAGTAACAATGTAAAGTGGGCTGGCCGACTAACGTCTCTCGAGTGAGTGATGGCCTGGTTCAGGAATTGATATGTCTCTGTCTGAAGCTCCTTGGACGAAGCAGGTGTATCTAGGTTCATATCGTTCAACACAATGATTCGAATTTCGGGGATAGGAAACTTTTCTTCTGCTTCATCTGTCGCATCTGCAATATCCCATGTTCGATTGATCGGCAACTGAAATCGTAATTCATAATTCGGCTTTCCAAAGACTCGATCAAATCTGTCCATCCGCTCCTGTGAAAGATCCCCAGCGTAACCAACGTCATGATTCCCTGCCACATTGATAATCCTATGTTTCCATCGTTCCGCATCGTCTCCCAATATCATATATGCGTCAAAGTCCTCAGATGGTTGTGATGTTAGCTCATCTGGCACACGTTCCCCGCCACGGAATACCCTATTCCAATACCTCCACCCCCGACTTTCAAACTCATCATTAGCTATCCATTGACTCCCTACCAGATCTCCAAGGGTCGTAACATGTGTAGGATCTGTCCACCAATGCAGCGTTGTGTATATATGTCCCAAATAATAATCATTCCCAATATGATCCAAGCGCTTCCTGTACAACTCAAGAAAATCCGGGATATCTTCGAGGTAGAAGTCTACCAGGTCGTGAAGACTATGCCGAAGTCTCTGCAGAGGACTATCTCGCGCCCCATCGAGCTGGAAAGCGTCTCGCCAGAATTTATTGAGGTTGGGAAAGGTAGGAGCGTCAGGATCGAAGTAGGGGGATTCTCCTTCGAGTTGCGGATCTCCGAGCGCAAGAAGTCTGAATGGTGCTACCGCACTGGAGACATGTTCAGAAAAGGGCGAATGCTTTCGAAGTGTATTGCGATATGCCGAAGGACCACCATTGTCAGGGGCTGGGAAGGCGCATAGATGGAAGAAGGGGTAGTAGTAGAGGTAGGTGGTGAGGAGGACGGACACTGGTACTAAGGCTAGCAGCGCAGTTCGAAGCACATGGGCGAAGTACATGTGAAAGACTGCATTTGAAAATACACGGTGGAAAAGGAGATATTATGGAGAAATGAAGCTATTGCGGTAGGACGAACTCAGGATCTCGAGCGCGGTTAAAGCCACGATGCACCCGACGCGACGCATCATGGACCACGTGACTGTTGATTTATGGATAAAAATTATTTGGGGATCTCGTTTCCTCTTGATCAAAAGCGTCAAACACGAAAATCTGCAGATTCACTAGTCTGCTCATACTCAGAATTGGTGCCAATTTGCTTCGGTCATTTAAATAGAAGGATGTTTAGGACCCTCAAACCACGTGCAACACCGCGAAATATTCATCTAACCACGTACGAAAGTACAAGGTGAGTTTTCTTTTACCCAGATTAATCAACTGCTGTTACAATATGAATCATACCAGTGATTTTGAAAGATGGTCATGCGATAGAGCTTACTGCAGTTTAGAGACTACTTCTAGCAGAGGATGAAAATTTGAAGATGGTGGTGTGCCAGTTGCGTCAAAAACAGAGTATACTTCTGGTCACTTTTCGATCAATTCTGTGTTTATTGCTCTGAACTCGGTCCCATCACAATATTTACAGGAAAGATTTGTACCGCAGATCATGTTGTGATCTTGCTAGTGTCTTCCACCTTGCAAAAAGGGGGAGCTACAACTGAATCAGATTTAAGCGAGAAACGTCCTTCCTGACTGGCACTTGCCTTTGCAATTCTTTTGCCATCGGTTTCGCGTCGCTCGAATCAGTAGAATTCTGACACCTGTTTCTTTTTCACCCCCATCTTTGAGATCAATGGGCTACACCCCGATTGCAATAATGTCGCAGGAGAGTCATGTCAACCATCGCCGATCATGGAAGTCCACTTTACGATGAAATGACACACGTCGTGCCTTTAGGCGGAGATATTGTCTTCCGCAGAAGGCTGCGATGAAGCACTTCTTGCGTTCTTCTTGCCAACTCGCCAACAGTCGACCGATGATGGAGTTGAGACTGTGATAGCTCAGGCTGGAGTCAAAATCAGGAATCAGGGTCTTCCCCTTGGTCAAAGTATGTCAAGGCACATATCTTTGCAGAACTCACGATCTCCGTCTTATTCTCGAGCCAATAAGCAACATCTGGAATACGATGTCCGCAGATCTGGCTCTGGACCCTTGTGGCGAGGGGTCCATCAGGTGATGGCGGGGAGGCGGGCATAGAAGAAGATCTAGATTCCCCTTCCCTAAAACGGATTTAAGGTGGGGAATAACAACGTCGCCTTGAAGATTCTCAAACCAATAATCCGAGTTTAGAATTTGGAATTTCGGAAGCGGTATTTTTCACCGTTTCTAGAATTTTCTGCGTTGCAGACATCGTCGCTGGCTACATCTTCAAGTAAACAACTTCAATGAAACGGTTCTACTGACTGATTTTCCATTCAATACTGGCAAAAATACGTAGTACAGTACTCATATCATCAGAATGTGTGTGAATCCCCAAAAAGGAAAAAGGATTCAGCTCTCCATAAAATAAACGAAACAACCATCGGAACCGGTGTCCTCGCCGACGCCATAAGCAGTTCCCCTCATCGAATATTCCATATGTTGCCTCCACCGCAATGAAGATGCGAGTAACGACAAATCGGCGTTAAATGGAATCTCCATGCGAAGTGCAACAAATCTGAGAAACTGGTCTCAACGTCCAAAGTAGACACTTCAGAAGAGTTTATGGACAGAGACATGCTCCGATTCGATTATTGGGATACACATGAATAGTTCCGGCGTAGCTGCCCGATGATGGCACTGTGATGCCACTGTAGCGTTGCCTCCGATAGGGGGAGGATAACAAAAACGAATGGAGCTGTGCTTCTGAACTCCGAGCGAAGGGCAACAATATAGAGTATAGAACCTTTGGATATCCAATAACAAATTCAAAAGCCACATTCTACTGAACGCCATCTCCGCTCGAGATGCAACAGAACTTCTCGGAGGGGGGTTAGGCTGTTCAAAGAAGCCAGCCTGTTGTCGGCCCCGTTGGGAGGAAAACACCATGATTTTGGAAAAGACTTCCATTTTGAAATAGCGAGTGAAGACATACCTGACTTAACTCACAATTATAGCAGCTATAACTGTTGGATATTCTTTGCTATTCAATACATTGTCGAACATGTGTACCTGCCATACCACCGGCCTCGCTCCTCTAGCACCATCTCCACTTCCCCCCCTCAAGCGGACCCAGAACACAACGACCTCTTCCAGTTCCCCAGCCATCCAATAACAGCTCTTTCCTCTCAGGATGCAAATTCCGGATCGAAATGCAACAAAACCTCAATCAGGAACCCCCAGCACCCCTGGAGGCTATTACATGCATGAGGGGTCTGCGGAGGGAAGTCCAGGCCCCGATGGACTCGAAAGTGGCGCTAGTTATGGACCCTGAGGATGAATACTCCGACGGAGCTACAGGTAAGCGTGAGACAGGTATTTTGAGTCCTGAGTAAGGGGTTGATTGACGTGAGGTGTTGCGGAGAGTATTCAGGGTCTCCGATCGAAATGCAACAGTTTTGTATAGAATTGGGTGTTTGCTCCTGAATAGGCATGTCGTTGGGTTTGTCACGGAGGGAATTGATGGTCCGAGGAGGAATACTTCGCCAAAGTAGCAATTCCAAATATTCAGGGAAGTGGATCGATGAGGACGTTGCGGAGCAACGAGATGCTCCGGAGTCGAAGTGCAACATATTTCTTTAAAATCGACTGTTTGCTCCAGAAGAGGAATATCGTTTCGTTTTCTGCGGAGGAAATTGATGACCAGGGGAGGAGCACTGCTCTATTGGAGTATTAATTCCAAATGTTGAAAGCCAGACCGATGAGGGCGTTGCGGAGCGACGAGATGCTCCGGGTCGAAATGCAACAAAATATCAAAACCAAGTAAATGAAGGAGCGGAAGCTCCCGTTGATAGTTTGAGGTGAGATGGGGAGCGGGCTGTGGCATATTGAGATGTTCCAACTTCGAAGAAAAGATACTACGCGCTGAGCTTTTGCAATGAGAGGCAGCCTAATGGCCAAACACATTATAGAATAAACCAAACTCGTCGAATTCTTATTTGACAGAGTAATTCGGCGATAAATGTCAAGAAAAGCTGTTACTTGCAAAGGTTACTATCCAAAGAATTGCCTGGTGTCAGCATTTTCTACATCCAGCCGCCTAACTAGCGTTGCGAGCAGCACAAAAAGCTGATGTTGCTCCCAAACTGGAAATTTATGGTCGAGATGTATTGTTGTGAACTCATAAAGCTGTCATTTGATCAGAGTGTTGGGAAATATCTATTAAAACTTTTGAGTAGGCAAAGAATTGTGTCGCCATTGAATGGAGCTTCAGCTTTCCACGCCAACGAGTTGAAACTAGACCACCACCAGCCTATTTAAAAACCACACCAAGGACTATATAATTGAATGAAATATTCCATTGCTAAGCTGCTGTAATACAGTGTCTACGTGCAACGAAATAGCTACTCCCATTCTCCTCACAATGCATTCTGGAGGCAGCGATTAAAGTTCAACGAACACGTGACACATATCAGAGGCTGTACGGGACTCCTGCATGTCAATTATTCCCTTCCTATCAGACAAGTATATTCAACAATCCTCACAGTACCTCCGTTCGAGATGCAACAAAATCCCATCTTTGAAATTCAAGCTCGCGATCTCCATCTGACGTCCCATTTCTCGCCTCGAAGCAGCTCACTAACTCCGGACGACTTGCAACAAATTTCAAGACCTGCGATTTTATTTCTATCTTCAGCCAGAAGCCCGATTCTTCAGTAAGGTTGTTTTACTCGTGAATTCCGAGCGAAATGCAACAAAATATTGAATCCGTCGTTTGCAGGTGTTTCGGCACACGAGGGTGGTTGAAGGTCTGACACTACTATCTCCGGACGACTTGCAACAAACCCAATTTTCAGCATTTCGCTGAGATGATACCGAATAAAATCGCAAATGCTTTTGATCGTGATTTCCGTGCGAAATGCAACAAAGTAGTCGCACAACCCCTTTTGACCCTTCGTGGGTACTTCAGACGACCTGCAACAATACTTTCGCCACCATAATAACTCGTTAATTATAGATTCGGAGTAGCAAATCAGTTCTCAAGATTTTGTTCTGCGATTTCCGGTCGAAATGCAAAAAATACTGCAAAAAAATTGCGATAACGCCGAATGGCAAATGGGTATCGGATTTGACTTTCGCATGTTGGGGCGATGTGCAACAAAGATCTAGAATTACACAACCAACAAATTGGTACGAAAATACAAATGGCCTTTTGTTTAATTTTGATACACCGTGAAGGTTTCAACTCGATAATTGTAAATCTTGCGAATTACACAATCGAGCTCAGGTATCTCTGGTCTAAGCAAGGATTAAAGCAATTTGAGGCTTTTTACTTTGTACATTGTACCTTATGGTCATAATACTCTCTCTTTCCTTGTCTTTTGAACGTAATCTAGCAGGGCACTATTTCTCTCCCAGTAAAGTAAGCACTGGCTATCTGCGACTTTGTTCAAAATTAATTCAACATCGTAAATCACCTTTTGCCACGTCTCCCAGTATAGAAGGCCGACGACAATTTCTGCTACCATACCCAAAATCAATGAAGCCTCTAGTGAGCCGCAAATTAACCACTACATTACCTGAACACTTTTCTTCGATTTAATTCAAATACTTCTTAGTTGGGAATGTTGGGATTTGCCGTACACCCTTCTGAATATGGGGAGGTGACATCGCTCGTCCGAGTTGAAGTACCTCTAGGATCGCACACTGCACAGTCACTGCAGCCTTTCCTCATACCTAACAATCAAACACACGGAACTTTCGCAAAAATCTTTCGCAATATTCGACGACCAGAAAATCGTGTCACTGGATCGCCCAAAACAGGTTTTTGTTGCAAGTCGCAGTCTCCTGCAGTATCTCCGGCAGACATGCAACATGGAGGCAAAGTCCACGATTGAACAACAGAAATGCGCCACTCCGAGTTTCTCAGATCACGAACAGCTAGTTGGAGAATCAAGTGTCTAATTGGTCCGTTCGTGGGATAGATTGGGTATATTTGTTGCAAATCGCAAGTCCTCCCACAATCTCCGGTCGATATGCAACAAACACTTCAAAGTAACTAGAGTCTCACAAATTGGCCTTATTTACCACACCGCTTTTCAAATAGGAAATCTCATCTTGAGTAAGTCGTCTCAATCTGACCTGTTGAAACCGGGTCGAACATAAGCTCTCTTCAAGTAGCTCTTCCCTAGAGACAGGCCTTAGCTTGTTTTACGATGCATCGAAAGGACAGCGATTTTACCATGACAATTATTAAAATGCTTAAAAAAGGGAGATTACTTCGGTATCATTTACGACAATTCAAAAGAACAGGGACGTTTGTAATCTACAGAAGTCAACAGAAGGTCCAGCACAGTTTCCGAGTCGCCGGGCAATGTACAACAAACCAAAATAAAGCCAGAACATTAGCACGCGCATCTCTCATACTGCTAAGTTTTATCCTTCTTTTTTCTCAATGAGATGTCCCAGTCTTATATATGGAAAAATCTTATCGTTCATTTACTTCTTCTTTCATAGAAACATTACCTTAACGTCCTTTGCATGACTTTAAAAGAACAGATATATTAGTTTAACGCTATCTATGATGCCTCAAAAGAACAGGCACATTATCTTGGAATTGTCTACAATACCTCAAAAGAGCAAGGACATTCATAACCTGCACATATCCCCTCGATACTCCCAAAGAACCGCAATATTGCCTTGTCATTCCCACAACACCTCCGAAGAACGGACGCGTTATCTTGACATTAATTCAGCATTATCTACGATACTTCAAAAGAGTAGGGACAGTCATAACCAGCAAAAGTTATTCACAAGTCTTGTTTTCCTACAACATATTCTTACTGATGATCCATGAATTCTAGAACACGCCACAAGCGAGAATGCGGGGTATAGGGCTTAGCGAGGTGCTGCAGAATGGTCCAGATCTTTCACAATTCAGACGACACCTCACTCTCAAAAACATCACGAAGACTCAAACGCAAAGAGAGCATTATTTGTGTGGTAGATATCTGCTGTATTGCTCTATGATCTATGCTGCTGATCTCAATACATGTGTTATATCCAATATTCAAAGCTCAAAACCCAAAATCCCAAAATTCCAACAACCAAAGTCAGCTCCCAACGTTCCTTCCTCCACCTATCCTCGGTGAGAGTATTCTTGTCGATTGCATGTGATTGGCCTTCCGATCGGGCCGTAAGGGTTGGCCGATGAGGCCGACGACGCTGGAAGGGGCGTCGACCCAGCAGAAAGCTGCCGGCTCGACGATCCCGAGGAACTTGACTGCGACAGCAGCGCGCTCACCCTGGCAGCTGCCGACAGCGCAGGGGGGTTGGCGGGGACCAATCGGGCGGGGAGAGTGTCGGTGATCCACGGGGCAGAAGAAGGGAACGGATTGTAGGAGCGACGGAAATAGTCCCCCCTGAGCTCGAGCACGTGATTTCTGGTTTGCCCGTTCATCGTGTATACAATCTCTTTGGCGGCCGGATTGTACGAGACGTACACCGCCTTGCGGAGATAGTGCCAAATCGTCGAAATAAACTCCTGGTCACGCACTTGCAACCTGAAGCTCAATCAGCCAGACTATTTGAGACAATGACGATTTATTAAACTTACCATTCTCTATCAATTGCGCCCTGGGTACGCTTAAAAACCTCCCCAATTGAGTAGGGGTCCATGAATTGGACCGCTAGTACTCGTACTCGTACAGCTGCCTGAGGAAGCTGCCAGAATCGGAACCATATGATCTTGCCGGCCTTTCTGGGACTGCAATCATCAGTAAAATTCCTCAAAGCAATACACAAATTCAGTGAAATGTCCTAGAAATCCTGAGACATTGTGTTGGGTCAAACGGAATTGGAAATACATACCCAAGAGGAGCAAATACGGTGGCAGACATTTTGAACTTGTCGAGTCGATTGAAATGGTGATGTTGTTGTTGTTGTTGCTGTTACTGTTACTGTTGCTGTTCTTGTCGATACTGGAGAGAAAGAAAGAGGGAGTGAAGGAGGATTAATATAGCCTGGAGACGTGATCGGTCGTTCAGATCACTGAGCTAGTGAGCGACGTGTGGTGCTCAGACCAATTGCTTATCAAAATCAACGGACAGTCGCGTCGTGGTACTTAGAAAGCAGACGCGAATGAGGGAAAGCCAAGAGAGCCCGCCGTTGAGTCGTTCTTTGGTTCTGTTTGGTTAGCGAGACTTTGGGGCAATCACAGCGAGATTGTATAAAAGTTCAATGGCTCCTAAACGAAGTTCGTCTCTCTTTGGACGTTGACTAGAGACGAATGCGTGGGATTGTTGCTGGGAGTTCTTTGAGAGTATTGGATGATTTCGTTTCATTGCCATAGTCACAGTTCTCTTGGAAGCGTTCTGAGAGTGCTCAGAGCGAGAGTTTGAAGTGTCACATAGAATTGAACTGTAATTGTCCATCTACCATATTACATGGTTTTGTCTAACAGTGATCAAAAGCTTCAAATCCATATTGAATCAAAGTACACTCTGCTGAGCCTTCGAACCAAAGCAAACCGAGACTTCAGTGTTGCAAGAGTATTGTCAATTCGGTAATACATTCCAAAGGTCAACAACCAAGCCAAGACCTTCCGCGTGCCGCTAAGAGCAAACTTCTTTCTTCTATTAGTTATTACGCAGAACCTACGCATTAAAAATGCTCAGCCACCTTGTAGCTGGTACACTATCCTCATCGTTCTTAGTCACTTAAAAGAAACACATTGGTCCCATAGTTGCAGTTAGATTCGAAACCCTTCAATAAAACCTTTGATAAATCAAACCTTTTCTTACATTATTAGATCACTGTGGGGTTGCAGCTTTCCCCGGAGATCAGCGTGGATGCTTCTCATTACCCCGCCAAGCCTAGCACCACTTAGTCGGGAAAAAAAAGCTTTTCAATTACACTTTAGGGTTAACGTAGATTAAGTTTCGTTTATGCACGTCATTATGCACACATTCTGCACGTTGGATCCACAATTGTGCATCTGGAACTTTCGTAGTTGTAAAGTGTTGTATGTTGTGCTTAAAACGACGTTGAAGCAAATGATATTGAGATCAGGGGTGCACCAAAGTTTGACACTGCTAAAGCCCGCGAATAGAGTGCACCGTTTGCATAAATCCCATTAATTATGCTACCTCCCGGTACCTGATGTTGGTGTGAAGAGTTCTACAGCTGACATCTTACTACTCCCCCCCAAAACCCACCCCCACGAACGTTGAAGTCATATCTCGGTAACTAGTCTTCTTGTGGGGCGGACCCCTGTTCTTCTAATTCCAAAAGCACTACAGCAGACTACAAAAAGACCGTTCGTCTAGACCATGATTTTCAGCCACTAAACTGGGATTTATTCCTCTTTCGTCTCAACAACCATTATGTCACAACTGGAAATAGTCGCGACAAAATTTTCTATTGCAACTCGTCACAACTTACTGGGAGTTCAATTTGGCGATCTTCGATTCTTGTGCACACAGCATAACCCCCACGAAAATCGTACGCGTTCGTGCATAAAATGCACTAAATGATACTTGCCATACTTGTGATGTCAATTGATGCTGGAATAATCAAAACCCTTTCGTTCTCCGCTTTTTATCGCACTGGTGGGTCGCGAGAGTGACTCACATAGTCCAAGAGAAAGTTTTCGGTGGCCGTAGTAATTTACAACATTCCGATGGGGCTCACTGTGGTTTCCAAGGGAAGACCAATACCTGGGGTTCTAATTCTAAGCATATTCGAGGCAATTTAAACACTCTCATTGGGGGTTTTAATTCAATATTCAACCGTTTTATGACTTGGAGATTCTGTGGGATTTTGTGGTTCAGGAATATAGCAAATTGACCGAGCATCATCACTTCAAAGTAACAAGGCGTGAGCAATGTGTGAAGCTTAACTTACGATAATATTCTTTCTACCTACAAGCAAAAAAAGAAATTTGCGCGCTGGAATGGACTTCCAAACTCAAACCACTGATCCTGTAGGCTTGCTCAAGGGGGTTAAAACAGTCGAAGTGAGCTCAACGAAAGTTATTCCAGTACTCATCAATAACATATGGCTCGATTCGAACGGGGCAGAACATCAAGATTCGCAGTGTCTTGACGGAATGGAAGAGTGAGAGATTGAAGAGTGCCGTTGAATTAATTTTCAGAGCCCATGCCTAAATGCGAGTGATTTTGACCAGCCCACCGTTGATGTTCCATCGCACGACTTATCATGACATGAGAGCGGTTCTCTCAAAAAAATTGAACACCCACTCGACCAGGTTGAATCAATGTGGGAACTTTCGTCCATAATTCTTAGCGATCATCTCAATTTCAGAATCATTTCAGAATCCTTCCATGATCGATCCAGACTCATAGTAAACGCCAAAGAACGTAGTAACCGAACTAAGATATCTATCTATTCAAGCACTTTAACTCATTACCAGGTATGTCGTCAAATTTCCCTCAGAAAATGCAACTCTTCCAGGCTTTCTAAGTTCACAACCGAACGGATCCATATCACGGTGGACAAAATAAGTATCATCAACCCTTCAAGGATTCCTTCACCATACATCCAGTCGGTTAGAGACAGAGCCACATTATCTTATAACGAATGTTACAAGTAAAACATACAATATTGCGTTCAATAGATCGGATGATCGTTAGGTCTAGACTGCTGCTTACTTTGTCTACCATCCGCTTACCTGGCTAAGTCGATGAAGACTGCTCATGAAGTTTAACTTGGGTGGATAGAACGGTCAAAAGGAGTTGCTGATTTCGTGTCAACTATGAGTTATCATTCGCAAGTCCAAAGATGCTGTGCTAGGATACACGAGTCTCATATTTCGATCTCTTGACGATTGGGGATTTGTCTAGCCGATATCTTCAGGAGAACGCGAGATATGAGGGCTGAAATGATTGTTCAGAGACCTAATATTCAAAAGTCTTCTCCATTGCAAATCAAATAATTATGTCAGTAAGCTGACCTAGCAATTTCTCGAAAAGCGTTTAGGTAAGTAAGAGTTTGAGGTCAAAGGTAGATTAGTTCAGGGGTTTCTGTGAGGTATCTTGAAATATCTTCAACAGATCCTCATTGCGGATGACAGAGCAAATTTGTTTCATGAGTCCCACAATAACCCGCCAATAACCCTCAAAACTCGCGCTCACATCCCAGACCTCAACTCCATTTCAGCAAGAGCTTTATTCCGAATTTCGCTTGCCAACAACACATCCCAACGTCTACCCTAGACAGCACTTTTGAATCAGAGGAAAGCGTTGCTACTTAAGACTCAGTTTCACGAAGGCTTTTTTACTGGCGCGAACAAGACATGAGCAGAGAGAGCAATTGCCTTATGTGGTGAGCGACGAAGGGGTGGGATTACTATGGCTTGTTTGACTATAATTTCGGGGTATGAAGTAGAGGAGGAGGAAAAAGGAATAGGACAGAGACTGCTCATAGCTTTGAGTCACAGAAGCCGATACTACCTCAGAAAGCCATTGCCATCGATCCACAAGATATCGAAATTTTTTATCATGTTATGGCAGATCAAAATAATGAGATGAGCTCGATTAGAGAAGATAAGAAGCTTTTTTAGCCTATGAAGCGAATGCAACACAGAGATTTCGCAGCCATCATGATACACGGGTATCTCTCGTATCCAACACTCTCCGTTAGCCCCATCACCATCACCATCCTGCAACTCGATCCAGCAAAACCCAGAGCGTGTCACATCAAAATTACACATTAAACCCCACCCATCACCTCCACCGAATTCTAATTCACAACCACACTCCTCTCCTCAACCTCACCCACCCACCTCTCCGGCTTATGGATCCTCACACCCGCCAAGAACCAATCCTCAACCACCAAAAGATTCAACAACACATCATTCCCCCACCACGCAACACCACACACCATCGCGCCCAGCACCGCATCCAGAATAAAATGATTCGCGGTCGCCACAATACAGACCAGGATAATAGACGGATACAGCGTGCCGATGAAACCACATGCCATGCGTCGCCAGGACGGGAGTGTGAGTTTCGGAGCTAGCTGGGGGTGAGAGCGGTTGAAGCCGGGAAGAATGTAAGAGATTGGTGTGGAGTGGAGGGGATTGAGGGGGATAGTGGCGATGGTGAGGCCGATGAGAAGGGAGTAGCCGAAGTGGAGGGAGGGCATGGCGGCGAATTTGTTGGTGAAGCGGTTGTCGGTCCATATTGAACCTTGGCCTTTGGGGCCGTGGACTGTATCGATGAAGCTGTGATTGTGAGTATAAGGGCATTCTTTTGTATCGGAAGAAGGAGAGACCTACCCATAGCTCCTCGCCAGCTTTCCGGCTTCGTCGTCGGATGTGTCTGCGCTGAGGAGTCGTGGTGGCATGCATGGCCAGAGAGTGAAGATTATGAATGCGAGTAAATTACAGAAGGCCATTGTTCGTCTTCGAGCTTCGTAGAGATGAGGTCCAGCTGGTGATTCTTTGGACTCGCTAGGGCTATTCTCGCTTCGTGTGTTGGCAACTCGATTACGAGTATTGGTGTAGTAGAAAAGCCAGACGAGGAAAGCAATTGATCCGGGGATATGTATGAAAGAGTAAGTTCTGTTTATCCATTTCATCATGAAATCGCTTTTCATAAAGAATTGTTGGATAGGTAGTTCCCAAAAAATATGCATCTTTTCTTCCACAGCGATTACTTGCAGCGCGTGCTTTCGTGCTGCAAAGACTGTTCCTTCTACTATCCAGACTGCACTCGCTGCGCGTCCGAGTTGATATACCTAGTGATAATTAGAGAGAATTTCAAATGGCTACCTCTCGCTTACCCAATATATTAACGCCCAGTACCAGCACTCCACCAGAAACGGAAACCTCTCAAGCAACCGACTCAGAAAATACCCTTTGAATCTCCTAGTATTAGGAGTGGTGACCCGCTTCCTTATTCCCCAAGCACCTATACTTCTTTCTCTCCACTTCGGTTCTTCAGAAGCAAGTAATGAGGGCGAAGTCGATCTCGAATCCAAAGGATTATCTACCAACCCATCTCGGTCAACTTTCCCACCATGCTCCAAATCATCTTCAGAAAATCGTCTCTGATCAACAGGTCTCCTACGAAATCTCCCAGGATTGAAATCTCTATTAATCCATGTTCCTCCAAAGAGCAGGAAGATGACTACGAGAGGTTCAGCAACAGCACCAACGCCACCCATTTTGTATACTCAAGAAGGTGAAATGTTTTCAAAACTGCGGCAGGCTCAAAAACATCGGGATGGCTATTGTACATATAAGCAAGAATGTATAGTAGCTGACTCCACCAAGAATGTGCGTGTGACGCGATGTTGGAGCTATGCCCGAAAATGCCGAGCTTTAATAGCATGTGTGTAGCATTGCAGATCTCAAGCTATTGTTCATAGAAAATGCAGCAGATAAGTCCGACTTGCAGAAAATAATATTCGAGCAGAAAATGAAGGAGGGACCAAGATCCACTTAGCTGGAGGATAATTGCACTGACAGCTTCTCATCACTCGATGAGTACAGCCATCCATTCCCAAGACGGAATATAAGCTCCCACGGAACCACGGTACCAGATGGCAGCTGCCGGAGATGTCGGCTGTCAAGATTTGACTCAGAATATGCCATTGTAAAATCTGATTTGACAACCTTATTCAGCGGATGCAACTTTGGCGTTGTGTTCGGCCATGGCAAATCGGATAACCGGATGGATCGCGTTGCCGAAAGCTGTCGGTGTTAGTAATCGCAGCTTACTTTACGTGTCGATAAAGTAGTAAGAAGTAATCGGCGAATGGGATATATTGAGATGGTTTCTTAAGATGTCTTGCAGATGGAGACAGCGATTGACAGCATGGTTGTTTTGAGCGCGAGATTTGAAGTGACGAAGAGGTTACATCTGGAGAAGTGGGGCGAAAGTCAGATCCATCACGTGCGAAGTGCAACGTTTTTATATCTCGTGATTCGCCTCCTCCAGAACAACAACTTCAAAACATAGACTTCTAATCCCTCAAGCTCAGACGAATTAATCATTCAGTCTGAGTTTATTCGAACTTTTGATTTTGGCTTTATACTGCAGCATTTAGCATAGAAGGTAAGTACAAGAACATCTGCTCAAGAATGATACTGCTATGGTGGCTTGCAAAATTGTCATTGAAATCAGTTTTTAACAGGCTAGCTGTGGCAACTCATTACAGGGAAGCAACTAGCCACCTTCTGTATTACTGAGCCATCAGAATAAATACTAGCTCAAATGCATTTATTGCCCTACTCTTCCGGCCATAATACCAGCTATACTTCGGAACTCCTTTCGGCAACGTCGTTGAATTACACAAATACTATATTTTTATATTGTTGATTGCCTGTAACTGGTTGCCGATGTACATGGATTTTTACTATCACGTCTCAGATCCTGATATGTGTTCAACGAAGATACTCTAACACCAGTCTTGGGAGCTCTAGAACTTAGTGTATCGTCCAGCAAATCCATCGTCGGACCCCTACGGCAGGGAGCGTCTTCCCTTCACTGTCATCTAGTAGTCTGCCCTTAGGAACCAACCGAATAGCGATCTTCACCGTACGGTCCTGCTTTGGTCCTGATGGCTTTCATAGACAGACGTTGAGTCCAGCAAGTACACGTGACTGCACATTGTCCATCAAAACAGCTCCAGTCACGTGTCACTATTCTTAGTTTCAAGTCTTCAGCCTCAAACTTGAAACATCACCACCACCCGCGCGGTACCTTTTCTTCAACGACATCACTTCCACATCTTGATTTTGCGTCAAATTGGACGTCAAGATTATCTTGTCTATCTCAATTGAATATAAACATCCAAGGGTTTCAGTTCATTCAAAGTCGAAACGCTCAATTGTCAGCGATTATGGCTTGTTTGCAACGCTCTAAAAACCTCCGAGTCGACCAAGGTGATTGACGGATGACTGCAGAACGTTACCGTACTCTAATAACTGTTCTCTTTATCTATCCTTTTTATAGATTCTTTCATTCTGCTCGTCTCCTTTTCAACCATCTACCTCATGGTCGGACGATATTCATGTTTGGTGGTGGGGGGTTGACACGATTAGAACCTGACAAGGTCAAAGCACCTCCATTCTGAAGCATTTGACGTTACACTCTCCCCACTCCCGAAAATATTTTGACAGCCAAGAACGGAGGTGTTTACCAATTGACCACTCAAGAGATAGTGTTACACCGGTATTCAAAAACATTCCGCATAACGACCCAAGCGTCATCACTTGATGCACCCTTATTATCTGAGCTCTCCATGAAGAGGAGGTCGAGGCCATATCCTCTACTGCAATGTGACTGCAGTCAGCGCACATGTAGAAGTTTCTACTACTGCAAGGTCAAGAACAGGAGAAAAGCGGGCGAGTCCTGGCGTCTGTGACCCGGCATTTTAATTTCGTTTCTCTGGTGGAATTGTTGTTAACTTTATGTCGTTGTCACGAATTCCACTTACTCAAGTTTTCAGAGCAAAGTCAAACAGTACCAGTAGTACGAGCTCCACGCCAGATCTATCTTCTCTCTCACCAAGCGACCTCTCAAGCCCGTACGACGTATTAGGAGATCTCTATCCAAAGGACATCACTCCAAAAGACATAACGCCAATCGTTCGAAGAGGTACGACCGATTCTTTCTCTCCAAAAAAACCCAAGAAACCCACGCTGGCTCGTCGAGGTACCGATTCGGTTATTCCAACGGACGATATTGTCCCACGAACCATCCTTTCCCCCAAGAAATCTTCTCCAAAACCAGTGCCAGCCGTGGTTAGAAACAACATGTCACAATCAAATGGAGGTCCTCGGGCCGCGGGGAATCGAAATGCCAAAATGCTCGAATACGAAAGACAAGCGGAAGAACGAGCGAAAGAGCAAGCGCGAATGGAAGAGGAACGCCAACGAATGTCAACCGAGCAAATGAACATCGCACAAGAGCAAGAAAGGATCGCCCAAGAACAATACGAGATGGATCAATATTACGAGGCGGAAGCGTTGAGACATGCAGAGGAGATGAGGATACATCAGGATGAGGTGCGCAGGCATCAAGCTAGAGTAAGGGAACATCAGATGAGACTTCAAGATCATGAGGCTAGTTCTGAAGCCTTTGCTAGAGTGATCGCCATGCCCGCGAAACCGGGCAGAGATAGAGAGGTTTCTTTCTTGGGACCTGCGAGGACGAATTCGACTAAGATGACGTCGAATGGTGCGAATGGGAATGGAACTGCGCCAGCACAATTTCCGGGGATATAATGATGAATGGTATGAGGATGATTGATGATGAATTTACAACGTGGTGATGGCTTGGGCGTCGCGTGGAACGAAGATTATGACACGGCCATTTTGGAATCGACTTCGAATTTGGAATAAAGCGCTTTAAGTTTCTCGTGCTAAATATCAACCGACTCTACAGTACTTCTACCGTCGCATTTTCATGTGGCTTTCCCGAAGCAATCCGATTTTTCAACCTCAACGCTACACCATCACCGCAACATCCTCTGGATTCATCTTCACAGCCAGTTGGAAATCATTTTCTTCATTCGACTGCTCAATCATCTGCAATTTGAATTCTGACTTGCGAAAGACTCCGTATGAAAGTGCTTGAAGGAAGAGGTCTAAGAGATTTAAGATTGGAAGCTCTGCCCCTAAGACACCTTTCTCGAGAAATCAGAAGATACCAGACGTACTCGAAGATTAAATACTGTAGGAGGGTCAACCCGAGGAAGCAAATTATACCCGGCGTAGTTGCCCAGTTTCCTTTGGCGTTTGGTTTAGGTTGTAGTCGGATGTAGTTCTCATGTACTGGATACACGAGACAGATTAATGTAATATATAGAATGTCATTCATTTCACAAACCCACAACGGTGCCATCACAAAGTCTCACATGTCCCCAAACTTGACACGAATTTCACTTATCACTCATCACCGCATTAGCAACGAAGGAAGACTCGTTTATCACTTCATGATAAAAAACGACATGACTACATTGATGAAATCAAATTCCCGTTAAACGAGTACAACGAGTTGAATCCCTTAATCTGAACTATTCCTATTCTCTGACTGTGGCTTCTTGACTTTGACTTTGCGAAGTCCAGCATAAATCTACCACACCTTGTGTGTTTGGTCATTGTAGTGTGGGGTTGCTCAATACTAGTTACTGAGATGTAGGAATGTAAGGGATAGAGTGTTACTAACCTTATATATACATCAGTGCCATCACAAATGCTCACCTGTTACTAAAAATTATAATTAATTGTCATCTATAAACGACCGTGTATGGAACGAGAGTTTTATGAGAAAAAGAAGTATAACGCATCGCAAGCCTTCTTGTAGCTCCAGCTCACACAAAGTGGTTCTTAATTTGACTTTGTGAGGTTTAGCGTGGACCTAGTATATCTTTGGCAATTGGTGGTCAGGGTGTAGGGTGGTTAAGTACTGGGTACTCGAGATACAGTACTGTAATGAATAGAATGTCACTCACTTCACATCATCACAAGTTCTTACATGCCATCAAGATTTACAACGCCAATTTCACATCAATTTTCAGATCTGTCACGACGTGGTTTCGGTTACTTCAACGACCAAGACCAAGACCAAAACACACCATCCACAAGAAAATAAAATTCCCATTAAAATACACAACGAATCGAACTCCCCCTCCCTCCTCCCCCTCACAACGGCTTCTCAACCCCCACCCCCGCAAAATTCGTCCCCTCGTACATACCAACACTATCCCTCCCCCCCAAAAAACTCTCCGGCGGTCCCAAATAACTCGCCCTCACACCCCCCAAATCAACCACCACCTTCTGCACCGTCATCCCCGGCTGCTCAACCCAAATCCTCAACGTATGCTTCCCCTTCACACTCAAATCATGCTTCGTCGTCGTCATATTCCCACTAACACCCCACGCCCCATCCGCCACCGCCTGATTCCAGCCTTTCGGGTAGTCTTGACCGGTATAGTTACTAGTGGGTTGGATGATCTTGGGAGTCTCGGCGTCGAACGCGATGCCGTAGCGGAGAGGGCGAGCGAAACCGAGGTTGTTGTGGGATGGTGAGAGGTAGAGGGTTACGTTTGCGGCGGTCGTGTTGGTGAAGGTGTAGATGTCGTATTCCAACACGGGACCGGTGCCAACGGGTTGGGTTTCGGCGAGGACGGGGGAGAGGGTTACGCCTGAGAGGGTGCGGCCGTAGTTTGAGAGGACGGCGTAGGAGACGCCGTTGACGGACGTGTTGCGCGTGGCGTGGGCGGCTTCGATGGAGATGTGTTTGTCGGACTCGATGAAGCCGCGGAAATCTGCTGGGGCGGCCATGTTGTTGACGGGGACTTGGATTATGGGCGCGGGGAAATTTCCCCAGGTTGGACAGGAGGATGTGATGTTTATGTTTACAACTGTGGAGTTTGGGGCTGGTGGTGCCTTTGACCAGTCGATGGAGACGAGGACGCGGTAGTCAGTTCCGTTGTTGCCGCCTGTGAAGCCGGTGTTGGGTGTGACTTTCACGTATGGAGCGACGGGGGAGGCGGTCCATTGGCAGCCAGCGGTGCCGCGGGCGAAGATGTCGATCCAGCGGGTTTTTGGGCCGTAGGGGTCCATTGGGGGGACCTTGAGGGTGTTGCCAGAGTTGTCGTGCCAGGCGTCGTCGCCGGCTACGCTGGCGTTGGTGCCTTCGGGGGAGACGCCGATGTTGCCTGCCAGGGAGGTTTCGAGGGATTGGACGTAGGAGAGGGGTGGGAGGGTGTTGCGCATCGGTTGTTGCCAGTAGCCGTCGTAGAGGGCGCCGTGCCAGGAGAGGTCGTAGCCGAGATGGGTTTCTATAATTATCAGTATAAGGATTTTAAAGATAAGTCTAAAATTGAACTTACGATCAAGCATGTGGTTCCATTTTCCATTGAATAGATCATGGTATCTTTGTGTGAGCTTGTGATCTTCCGAGAACCAGTCACGCACTTTATCAGCAACCGAGTTGGCACTATTTCGTCGTTGCTGAGCATACATTCTGTTTTTTCCGGCTCCAATATGGATCATATTGACGACTCCACCACCTAGAACAGGTTGGAGGACCATCTCGTAGAATGAAGGCTGAAATTCCACAGGGAGTTTGTCGTAGATGCTTTGTGCCTCAACGGCGAGAGCTTGCCATTGAGCAATGATAGCATCTGCTTCATTGTAGTTGACAACGGAGTAAGTGTCCCATTGAATGAGTTCGTACTTGCGACGAGCAGCGTACATTCCATATGTGCTAACAACCTTTGCAATACGGTCTGATAGTTCAGGCGTGAAGTCACGAGATGCCCATGCTTTAAGCCACTCGGATGTTGAACCTTGACCCCATTTCTCGGCATCATATGCTAGGTCGAGGAAGTGGTTGATAGGAATTTCGAGGGGTTTCAAATCTCCAACGTTGAGAATCCATATCCGATCTGCCTGTCGCTCATAGGCGTGGTGCATTTGCTCAGTGGTCTTCTCGAGCTGGATAGTGTTGATCCACTTGTAGTTCCTTGGGTCTCCCACGTAATCGACGTGGTAATAGATACCTGCAAAATCATTAGCATAGTTGCAAAAATCCGAATAGTAGTACTTACCAGCGCGACCGACTCGATCAAGTTCTTTCCCAACCGGCAACCTTCTGATATTGCCCCAATTATCATCCGCCCAAAGCAGCGTAACATCCTCCGGAACATCAAGACCCTTCTCATAATAACTCTGCACCTCCTTATACAAACACCACATCTGCGGGATATCAGAGACATCTGTTCCATTAAACACTTTTCCCAGCACTTCTCTCTGCGTAGTGACAACATTTTGCAGCACCTCAATAGCTTGTTGTTCCGTGAGGAGAAGCGCTGTATCACCAGAACCACGCATAGCCATGGTGAAGAGAGTGTTCGCTCCATATGGCTTAGCACGTTGGGCACCGACGGTGAAGAATTCGGTAAGTGATTTGTTGTTGGTGTCGAATTCCCATTGACCGTTTCCGCCGAGGGGTTTGCCAAATCTGTTCCATTCGTTTGTTGCTCTTGCCATTGGTTCTAGAAATGTCAGCTTGGGATTCATGTTATTGCGAGGGGAAGATGAATTCACCTGTATGACTTGTACCCATAACAATACCATAAGCATCAGCAATCGGTTGATTCGCCTCATCATCAACACCAAACATACTCCCCCACATAGCAGGCCACAAATAATTGGCTCTCAATCTAAGAAGCAGTTCAAATACTCTTGGGTAAAAGTAATGATTAAATCCAGCCCCATATTTGCCTCTCTGGTAATTACCACTATCGCAAGTCAGTTCGCATACCAAAAAGGCTCATCTTCGTAAACTCACTCAATCCAATTAGTCAAAGCAGGCTGTTCATCATTAATAAATATCCCACGATACCTCACCGTAGGACTCTTTTGGAACTTCCTCTGCGCAAGAGCCCACACTCCTTCCTTCTTAACAGCCGGGACATCTGCCCACCAATTCCACGGACTAACACCAATCTGCTCACTGATGTCGTAAAGCCCGTAAATAGTACCTCGTGTGTCCGCACCTGCGATGACAAGCGCTTTGGCCACACCTGGCAGCGGGTTCTCGACGACTTGTGAGATGAAGCATTCCCAGCAGTTCTTGAGCTCAGACAGGTCAATCTTGCCACTGTTGCCGAGTTGGGTGATAAGGGTGGATTTGTCGACGGTTCCAACGATGATTACGGTTTTCTTGTTTGGTGCGTTGTTGAGGAGGGTTGGACCGGTGAAGTTGGAGGCTGTTTGTGCGAGAGTGTACTTATGACTGATTAGATTCGTCAAGGAAGTCAAATGGATTGAAGGAACTCACGTTTATAAACGAAGTCACCGGATTGTACCAGTAATAAACCGTAGTCTGAGACCCAGCAGCAGTGGCTCTCGTAACACTCTGCGGACCATTTTGCGGTCCACTCTCAGGAACATCCTGCCAACCTTTCGGCGCAGCATCTTCCGCTCTCTCAACATTCCCTCGCTTCGAAGAAGTAGAGTTCGTCGAATTTGACGACACCCAATTCCCCAACGTCAAGTTCTTCCCTGTGATTCTCCCAAAATCATGAGCCAAATCATCGGCAGCGCGAATGACACCCCACCAATCCTCACTACTGACCAGAATCTGTCCACTGATCCCGGAGCCAGCCAATTGCAACAACGATGAGTCGGCTTTGGTCGTGACCGTTGCGTTCTGACCTAATGCCGCAATAGCTGGTAGCAATGCCGTAAAGGCAGCCAGGAAGGTGCTACTTGTCGACCTCATGGCGATAGTTGATCAATCGCACAAGACAATTGGAAAGAAAGACACGCAAGAAACCCTCCAGAAAAGGGGCACCGGGCAAGATTAAATCATATGGGAAAGCTCCATCCCAAGAACTGGAAATAAAATGCCATGCAGGGTAAATTTAAAAAACAACTGTATATCCTTACATCATATCTGCACGACAGAGTACCCAAGCATGGCACCCGGGAGGTGGCCGGCTGAATGGAACGCGGTTAATATAGAAATTCAAAGTTCATTCGATGAAATGACCGTTATGGAGGTGAATCTTCGCTGTTTGACGGTCAAGTGGTACTTCGTACCTGACATACATCTAGGATGTGACCCGATCCCCAGTCCATCCCCAGCAGATTACCCCGGAATAACTTAAAAATGGGGTCTAGCTCGTGAACCCCATCGGCAAAAGTATCTTGCGGGGTATCAAAAAAGCGTAATTCAGCCTGAATCTCAAAGTGGCCAGTACGGAGCGCGGCTGCTAAAAACTTAGAGACGAGCATTGCTGGATTAGTCGTTGGTGTTCGAGGGGTTGCCACTTGATTGCCGAGGCTTGCTGCATTGGCATTCATCGTTGGCTTCATCCACGAGGAATACCCACCGCTAGGTTGACAAACTTGGCAGCCTGCAATGTTATTCTTTCCACCAACGATATCGTGTGTGACCCTTCGTATGAGCGCTTTGGGATATACAGCTATTCTCTGAAGAGAAGGAGAGTAAAATTACAAACCAAAGAAAGAGAATATTTGGAAGCGAGAGGCTAATAGAGAGCACATAGATGGATGTCACACAAGTATCTTAGATGCATTGGATCAAGACTAATATATTGAGAGGAAGCACAATGTAGAGACTGCCAACCTTCGGGTACTTACAAAGAATATGTGAGTCCAACCATCATTTTTTGATCCTGCACTCCGGTCGCAGTGCTGTTACATCCTCGCCCTCAATCATTTCCTCTCACCTTGTTAATTTCCCCTAGTGTACTACAGGCTCCCGCGGAAAGAAACGCTAAAGGTGACAAAATTAGAAGTCTACATGACGCCGCAGCTCAATGCCCCCGATGACTTAACTTCATCCTTAACCTCAATATCCTTAATCACTCATCCTTGATGGATTCTACTCGCGTTGGGAGTTGGATCGCAAGATAGCCTGGCGTCAGACTTTTTCGAAGTTCGAGTATAGTTCTTAGGAAAACAAGTAAAGAGAGTCGAAGAACCTGCCAATTTCTTTTACATGACCACCTCTAACGCTTATGGACCTACTGCGGCAGTCGCAGCGTGATGTGCTGGCGTATTTGACGTTGATGATTCAGTCTCTCCTTCTGGGAGGAATGCGTACCTGGGCATCAAAGCCATCTTCTCTTCTGGGCTTATCTCATTGTCCGAATATATCATCTTCATCGGCTTGTCTTTCTTCGATTTTTTCTCGCTCGTTTCGGGTTTCGATGATGCCTCGGGCACAGGAGTGGCAGTCGCTTCTGGTTCCACTGCTGGTGCTGGAGCCGGTATCGGTGTAAAGTCGCTTTTCTTGGGTGGTTTAATGCCGGCTTCAGCCATTCTGATAATTTCGTCAATGTCATCAGCTTCTCTAGCAGCGCCCGATACTAGGTCATCCACAGAAGAAGCGTTAGTCGCAAAGTCGCCATGACCTTGAGAGTGAGGAGGGTAACCTGACGACATAGCTGGTTTTTGCTCTTGTCCTTTCCATCCATTACCTTGCCAGTTATTTTGCTGACCTTGGAATGAGGTTGGTTGACCCTGATGTAATTGCTGCATCTGATATGGGGGAACCACTGGAGCTCCAAAAGATGGTCTCTGAGGAAGGCCTGGAGCAGGCGGTAGACTAGGCGGGCGATTGGGTAAGGTGCCATGCGCGGGTGGAGTATGTGAAGGTGGGCCGGAATACGGAATATATGGCCCAGGTGGAGGTGAAGCTCCAAATGGTGGAGGCGGGCCTCCAGGAAAGCCTTGTCCAGGCTGCTGGAATCCGGGAGAAAATGCCTGAGGTGCTGGGTACTGTTGAGGTGGTGAATATTGCGGTTGGAAGTGCTGCCCAGGTGGTCCAGGGAAAGGAGGTTGTGAGGCATAGGGCTGTTGGTAAGCTACAGCAGGCTGCGAATACGGTTCTTGTGAAAATGAGCCATAACCCGCACCTTGTGGAGTGCCATAATTGACATTCGGGGGAGTGGAATATGGTGCCGCATTCTGAATGTACACGTCAGTCGGGAAATCCAGAACACACATGACACAACTTACAAATGAAGCAGGACTCTGTCCTAAGGGACTGTTTTGTGCACCGTCTACTAACGGAGTATTCCCCCCACTGCCTGTGCCAGCTGCCTTTTCAGCTTCTTTGCGTGCTTTGTGTTCTGCTAAACGTTTCTTCAGGTCGGCGGGTGATTCGAACTTTGGCTTCTTAGGTTGGCCACCTGGATTTCCGCCTGGGCCCGAATTTCCAGTCGCAGCTCGTCGTTCTGCTTCGGCAGTGTAGAAACCTGCAATGATGCGTTGATTATGCGCCTGAGCTACATCTTCTGGGATACCTTCCATGCCAAAAATCTCGACTTCGAGCCCTTGTCTGTTGGGTAATGAATTATCGACGCTCGTCAACGTCTCCTTATGTACCTGATTCATGTGCACGGAGAGTCCTGGAAGCTATCAGTACAGTATCTAGAATAATCGGATTGCGACGACATACCTCCGGCGGTGTTTAATCTGCGGCCACATCGTTCGCATTTGAAATGCTTAGCTTTCTGGTGGGAGATAAGAATCTTCAGATCATCGAAATCGCGCTCACCTGGCGCGCTGCGTCAGTTGGCTTCCACGACCTGTTTGGGAATTGGACTTACAGTAATAACACCAGGGCCGAGCCAACAACTCTTCCACGTCAGGATGCCCACGCTTCTTTTTGCCAACCATTGTAATAGACTATTTGTTGGGAGTGATGAATAGAAATGTGCAATGCTGCGTTGGTGTCGCGCAGGCAAAGAGTTTGAGAATCGAGTGCCATGGAGGCCAGCCCAAGAAGAGACTAGCGCCATTAGTCACATGATATGCGAGGCTGATCACAAAAAGCCTTTGAAAGGTTTTCACTCCCAGTTATCAACATCGTCTGTCGTTCACCATTTAAACGTTGAAGTCAACACACCGGGTATACCATTCTCTTGATATAATTGTCGATTATTTTGATGGTTGTCGGTCGATAACTCATACTTCCCAATCCAATCCATTCATTGCCTTTACTTGGCATTTCAACCCCTCACTACCTTGTTATTATTCACAGTGATAAAGTACGTGTTAGTCCTCCATCAAAGGATATCACCACGGTAGTTCAGCTTCGTTTGCACAATTGAATTGTCAGCCCAGTCGTATACTCGGGCCAAAGCTGAAAGCAACACCTTGATCAATCACTCAGCCGGATGGCACTCAAGATGAGACTCTCTTCGGAGAGCCTTCCAGATTCTTCGCGTCTTGTGTAGGTTCTGGATGGAGATTGAAAAGGATCAGAATCCTTCGGGATTTTGATCCCTTAGAGGACTTTTGCAATAGAGACAGGACCTTCATAGTCCATATTCCTACTCTTCATGAGAGTTCTACAGGAATGTGGCTCCTTGCGTACCAACACTCATAACCCTAATCCTTTGACGGTCTAAGTCATAGAGATCTGATTATGCTCATTCTTAATGAGGCAAAGTTAAGGGATTATTTGTAGTTCATATCTTTTGCATCTGTTTAAACCTGCGTCTAGTCTGCATTCGGTTCTCTTGGGCGTTGATTACCCATCTATATGTGAGGGAAATATCTAAATATTGCTCTACCCAGTACCTGCTCAATAAAAGGAAGAGGATTCTGTATTCTGTATTCTGAAGTTTGTTTATTTGGGGGTCACCATCTCTTTATCGTTAGATCCCCACCATCTCTATCGTAATCAAGCTTTCGCTTCTTGCGGGTGACATCGTCATGCAGATGCACGTGGTCAATTCCTAGTAGTTGGACTATGCCCATTAGTGTTAGGGCTGACATCCTGCTACTCCGTTCACTTCCGAGAAATACAATACTGTTTTGTTCCTTATAACAATATTCCTCCCCATTTTCCTTGAAGCTCTGCGCAGGATTATTGTAATTCAAATGATTCGGACACAATTAGCCAATCATTAACCAGCACAACCAAATAAAAGTCTGGGCCATCCATATCTCCAGCGACGCAACCATCGGCATCTATACCCGCAACGATGTCTTCGACTCACAAGCAAACGAGACCCCATGAGAAGCATCCTCAGTTCGGCCATCTACCGCTGAGCACCAGTGGTCCTCTGGACTGCGCTCTCGTTGGGTCCGCTCTATGCAATTCACCTCACTTCAACAAAGGAGCGGGTTTTACGGCTGAGGAGAGAAGGACGTTTAAGCTTACTGGTCTTCTTCCACAGAATATTCAATCATTGGATCAACAGGTTAAGAGGGCTTATCAGCAGTACTCGACTCGCCAGGATGACTTGGCTAAGAATACTTTCATGACAAGTATGAAGAATCAGAATGAAGTTCTTTTCTACAGAGTGAGTAAGATGTTGATCAGAAATGACAGCTACTTTTCTTCGGCCTCTCGTTAATCCCACGTGAGGCTTTCAAAGAATCATATGGAGCATGCGAGCTTTTGTCCCTCTTCTAGTTGGGTTGAGAGTTTAGATATCATCCACTTTGGAGAAGACTATAGAGATTGTGCATAGGACTAATCCTATTTCACAGCTTATCCAGGATCATTTGAAAGAGATGTTCTCCATAATTTACACTCCAACGGAAGGTGATGCCATTCAGAACTATTCCAGGCTCTTCCGCCGAGCAGAAGGCTGTTTCCTGAACATCAACGATGTTGATAGAGTTCACGAAGACTTGGCGCAGTGGGGAGAGCCCGAAGATATAGATTACATTGTGGTCACTGGTGAGTCTTTTCTTGATATCCACCTTATTTGTGCCCACCCTGACACTTTTATTTAGATGGCGAAGAAATTCTTGGGATTGGAGATCAAGGTGTTGGCGGAATTCTCATCTCAGTCGCAAAATTAGTTTTGACAACTCTATGCGCTGGCGTTCATCCAAATCGTACTCTCGCCGTGGTCTTAGACTGCGGAACTAATAACGAGGAACTTCTTAATGATGAGCTCTATCTTGGCCTAAAGCAAAAAAGGGCGAGTGGAGAGAAGTATGACAAGTTCGTTGATACTTTCGTTCAAAGTGCCAGAAAACTGTATCCAAGGGCGTACATCCATTTCGAGGATTTCGGATTGACCAATGGTGAGCACACCAGGCACAATTTGAACCACACAGCTAACGAGTGATAGCGAGAAGAATCCTGGACAAATACCGACCCCAAATGGCTTGTTTCAACGACGATGTCCAAGGCACTGGAGCTGTCACTTTAGCTGCTATCATGGCTGGTCTTCACGTATCTAATATTAAGCTGACAGACATGCGCGTGGTGATTTTCGGTTCGGGCACTGCTGGAACTGGTATCGCAGACCAAGTACGTGATGCAATTGCCGCAGATAGTGGTAAAAGCAAAGAAGATGCCGCAAAGCAACTCTGGTATGTATCTTCTCTCTTCAATACAAACTCTCAAGCTTATGAATTAGGTGTGTCGATAAACCAGGTCTTCTCCTAAAATCTCACGGCGACAAACTCACCCACGCCCAAATCCCCTACGCACGCGAAGACTCCGACTACAAAGGCACCAGCACCTCCGACCTCCTCTCAGTAATCAAAGCCGTAAAACCACATGTCCTAATCGGCACCTCCACCCAACCCAAAACCTTCACCAAAGAAGTAATCCAAGAAATGTCCTCCCACGTCGACCGACCCATCGTCTTCCCCCTCTCAAACCCCACCCGACTCCACGAAGCAGACCCAAAAGACATCAACGAATGGAGCAAGGGCAAAGCCCTCATCGCCACCGGCTCCCCCTTCCCACCCGTATCCTACAACGGCAAAGAATACGAAGTCGCGGAATGCAATAACAGCACCTGTTTCCCTGGCATCGGACTCGGCTGCGTTCTTTCTCGCAGTAAACTCCTAAGCGACAAGATGCTCGTCGCGGCTGTGAAAGCCCTGGCTGCGCAGTCGCCGGCACTGAAGGATCCATGTAAGGGGTTGCTGCCGGATGTTAGTGATGTTAGGGAGATTAGTGTGCATATTGCGCGCGCGGTTATTAGGGCTAGTCAGGAGGAGGGGTTGAATATGGAAACGGAGATTCCGGAGGGCGAGGAAGATTTGGAGGAGTGGGTTAGGGAGCAGATGTGGGATGCTAGTTATAGGCCGTTGAGGTTGGTGAGTAAGGAGACGGCTAGTAAGGATGCTAAGGGGCAGTTGGGGAGTGCGGGGGTTGAGTAGTGTGAATTGCTGACTTTAGCATGGGGTTTTGATCTTATGTAGTTTTTTAATAGAGGCGGATCACCAGCACGTTGCAAGACTGACGGGACACCCTCAAATACAACGATCTCAATTGTTGGCTTTCCGACACATCTTCCTCAAATATGTGATATTCCTTATTAAGAGAGACATTTTTATAAAATTGCTCGAGCAGACTGAGCAAATACAGCTTGTTGGACGAAAATCTCGCTACTTTACCGCTTGGAAGTGTCCCGACAGACTTGCAACATACGGGTGGATGTGAATTTGAGTATGTCAATATGCGACGAATGAGATGCTTTTGTGTATGTAGTAACACAATATAACATAAGTATAGTTTGCTAGCAGAAGGTTATCGTATTTGCGTTTTATTCTACTCCGATACGCTATTTTCCACCCCAAGTCAAAAGTAAATGCCATCTCAAGTCTTTCGGTTCGTCTTCCAGTCTGTATGAGACCTTCTCTTCAAATAATTGTGAGAATCCATTCTCATTCTCGAAAAATGTGTCGACAGCAGTCCAACGGCGTTATCCTCCCCATCGAAATGGTGTTTTCCAGCCCCTACCAAATCTAGATACCGGTTAACTTCTTCTGTTTTTCTTTTTATTCTGTAATCAAAGTATCTTCCTTCAACTTCTGTCACCCAATATTCTCATCGTTGGAATAGGAGGATGTTTGTGGTTCGGAGTCCCGTTGTGACATTTTCGACAAGTTGATTCTTTCAGTCTTTGCCTTTAACGCCCGTATGTCTCATAGTCGTGTAGCTGCACATACGAAGCCCTTGGGCACTTTCGTATGGTTATGATACGTACATCGGCGTTTATTACAGAAAGAGACTCTGGGGGCGACATTGTAATAACCTTTTGCAAGTTGGGAGATCAAGTCTTGAAGGTAGTCTTGGGGGTGGTGTTCCATATCTAGAGCCACCTCATTGACATGTGTTTGCCCTATTATTTCAAGATGATAATCGACCAAGAGCTTTCTCAATGGCGCGTTTGGTGGGGTTCTCTGATATATCTCCATGATGGAGAGGTGATGAGATGCTAAGACTGTGAATTTCTCGCCAGCCTCAAAGCTCATATTTCGGAACTTGTTCCGTGATTTGAGCAGCCCAACTGTCCTGTCCATAATGTAATTTCGGAAATTCTCGGCTTGCAGAGAATCTCCTAGGTAGTAGCATTCGAGAAGCTGGAAAAATCGCATCCTATACTGCTGAAGCTTGACGGCAAGTTGTCTCCTCGTTTCTCCCGGCGTTGGCTCGGTATCTGTTGGGGGTTCTGGAGATGATTCATATTTTATGTTGGCTGGCAGTTTACGTTTTGATCCGGGAACTTTTGGCAATTCCGGAATGTCGACCAAGCTCTCTGCGGCGCTGATCGAGCCAGTCGTGAGCCAAACGAGGAATATTGCGAAAACATCAGGGTCGTCCTCAAGATCTACCACGTTGTCCCGTCCTGAAGACCATTCCTTTTTGCATGCGGCCTTAAAGAAATCCGACTCCAAGCATATCTTTTCTTTATTGATATAAAAATCTTGCTTTTCACTTCCCCCCACCGTAACTTTCAGTGGAGCGGCAAAGTTTTCGCTATATTCATGTTAGCATTTGAATCAGGGATCGATCTCTTATTACTTCACTTACAAACCCAGCCTCATCTTCTTAGCTGGTGGCTCAGACATTTTGACGTGTAGATCGTTGAGACGCTGCGGGTGGATTTGAAGATCGAATGTGTGGAGCGAAGGATAATGGCGCGTAAGGAATAGTCGATCTTATTTCTGCGGTGTTATAAGAGCGCGGTAAATCAAATTGACCAACAATATTGGTGCTGGTGAATTATACACCAATGAGCGCTGCGTTTGGTAATGTAGCACCAGTGTGTTACAAGTCTGACGGGACACCTGCTTGCGGGCAATTAGCGAAAGCCACATTTACCTGTCCTGTTTGACTAATTTACCTAATTATCTCCAGCAAAAAGGAATATTGTTCGTATTAAGGAAGGAGTCCTGGAAAGTCGTTTCATGACGCTGTTGTACTCGGCGAGTCCCTCCAGTCATGCGGAGCACCAGTGTGGTTTGATGACACTTTCTCTTTTAGTGAATAATAAAATACACTTAAGCTTGGACCCTTAGATCTCTATCATCAGTCTATTGACCCAACTGGCATCACATGAATTCACCTTAGTCCTAGTGGAGAATTACTGTTCTCTCGTGCTGCTCATGAATAGAGATATACAGATCTCTTACTTGACCAATTTACCGGTGGAAGCGGTCTGAAAGATGCTCCGATCGGCCCAAGGCTGTGTAGGGAATTAAGGTACGCCTACCTAGATAGAGACGCCAAAGCTTGGTAGCAAGCCGTAAGGAACTTGAACGGTCATGTTTCCTTTGTCCTCGCAAATATCTAATTCAGTCTCCATTCTCGACCGAAATAATTGCTCGAGTCGCGACGTAACGCGCCTGGGCGAACACTACATGAGTGTACCACCATCATTCTCTGAGATAGACTTGACTTGACGTCCATACGACACATCTGACCTCAACAATTTACAGCGTCGAAATGTCTCAACCACCTGCTAAGAAAATGAAGCTGGATGTGTAAGTAAATAACAAGATGAAAATGGCTACTTCGCCAGTCCTGACCTTTTCACAGTGAAAGCTTCAATCCTCCGCTGCAGGTGATAGTCGGGAAGGAGAGTAAAAAAACAAGTGTTCTCAGTCAATAAGGCACAAATATGCTTACGATCTGATTTCTTCGCGGTCGCATGTAAGAAAAAATGGCGCTCGGGTCAGGAGAATATCGTCACGCTTGAAGAAGAGGACCCCGATATCTTTACCATCTTTCTGACTTAGGTCTCGACCGGATCGATCAGGGCGGCGAAAAGCTTAGTAGATGTACCACCTCTTGCAGAAGTTATTAAGCCACTGGAATCGACGACTACTTCCCCACCCAGTATCACCGTCTCAGCACCCCTGAATCCTCAAACAGAGGTCATTTCCGAGCGAAATAATGCGAATACACCGGATGGCGGCAAACTTACACAATACAACAAGCGATTCAGGCAATTTGTGGATTGTTACTATCTCGGTGAGATTCTGCAAGCTCAGCGCTTTCAAGACTACATCATGGACAGAATACTCGAGGTGACGGATCAACGATTCCGAATCTATGGGTCTGGTCTGGCTCCTGGCGAGAAATACTCCAACATTGGTTGTGCCCGCACCTCTATCGAGGAGATTTACAGCAGCACCCCGCAAAGCTCGCGATTGAGAAGCTTTATTACGCAACTGCAGTTATGCAGCAGCTACTCGGGAGTGGATAGCCCGAATATGTCTTGGGGGGATTATCTATCAAGGTATCTAACAGGAAGACGAGACATGCAGCATCCAAACGATATTTTCGAACTCATCAGAAATGGCAATGAAGATCACTCACGAGCCTTGGTATCAAGGCTTATGAAGTATTATGCTTGTAAGATGTTGCCGCGTTTTCCTTGGTTGCATGAGCGATGTCATTTTCATGATCATGAGAGGGAGGCTAAGGGATTCGTATGTAAAGATACAGAGCTCTGAGTATTCAGTTATGAGTGAAAGTCTGGATGTAACGCAAAGCCAATTGTAACGCAGAACGTACAATAAACAGCAAAGAAAGCACCAAGACTCCTATGATTCCTTTCGGGTAGAGTTGGTTATTTTTACTGATACCTAGCAATGGTTGTAAAGGAGTAAAAGTTGACCTGGGGAGTTTATATTGTAAAGTCAGTGCATCATATTATCCACAAAATGAGAAAGTATCACCATATTACCCTACCAAATCCATCGCTCACTATTTGATCCTACCAGAAAATCCTCGTCCCCTCATAAACCCCTGTAATATAAAGCTTTAAAGCACTTCATACAATAAGAGATTATCTTCAAGTAAACCAATGATTCTTCGGGAAACTGGGGTAGATTGGCGGACTGGTCAAGTATGTATACCCATATCTCTCATCCTCAAGATTAAGAATGAGGTTTGTGCCATATCTAAAAGATCCACCAATCAAAATTGTGACAGAAGTGTCGGCAGTGCGCTAAAGACGTAATTCTCATGTCCTCAGCTGGGGTCTCTTGTGGAAAATCGTTTCTCTTAGAGTGAAATTGCATGGTTTGAAACTACATGGAACGAATTAGACTCAATTATGTGAAACAGGGCTATACAACTACTTCTTTCTTTCAAAATGGGCAGATAGTTCAGAACTGTATGTAAGTGCGCTGCGAGACCAATGGCCCCCCTCCGAGTACAATAATGCAGAAACGACTTCCCAGTACTCGTTTCCCAACCGACACGTTTTTTTCACATTAGAAGGAAGTTTTACTCTGAGATGTTAGAGTCTAATTTACTATTGTCCTATCGTGAAGAGATGTCTTGTCAGCAGTGCAATAGGTTGCGAACGCTGGAATTACTTTGCTCTTCTAGTTTTGCAGCCATGAAACGGATCAATTGGCAGTGTCAATTGCACAAGTTTCGCATCGTGTCCACCTCCACAATTCTATCAATTCCCAAGACTAAATCTCCCTAGATCTTTCAGTAAATTAAAGGTCATCTGGAAGAACAATCGTAGGTTGCGACTGAGTGGAAAGTTGATATTCCTTTGCCATGTCTCAATCGGACGTGGAGGACCCCTTTCTACATACCTTCATGACTTCGATGCTTTCATGTACATGGAAGTGGCAGCAGTCTTGCTCATAGAACGATAGCGCCTTCTTTCTCATGTTGTAGTACTTCGTTGATGCCGCGAGTATTTCACTGACATATTCGTGACAATTCAAGCGGATGAATTGCTCAATATCCTCGGCATTTATCTCACTTCCATCGCACAATCGATACTCCACCAGGAACTTCCTAAGGCAAGATCCCGCTGTGGTCTTTTGGTAGATTTCGCTGAGTTCATCAGGTCCACTGGGGAGAGGGAGAGGCTTTTGCTTGTTTCGATAAGCTTTCCTGACGTCCAGCCGTGCTTTTCCCTTCTGAAGAATTCTGTCCATGATGTAGTTTTGAAAACTTTGCGCTTGAATAGAGTCATCAAGGTAGTAACATTCGAAAAGCTGGTGCAGTTGATTGTCGATGTGCATGATCTTCTTTTCTTGGGCGATCTTCCTTTGGGCGAAACTTGTGATGGCAGGGACCAATGGACGGGGATCAGACGTGGGCTTCTGGATTAGATATTCACAGGAATTGATTTCCCCAGTCAGAAGCCAAACGACAAATATGGCGAAAATTCCAGGATCATCCTCGTCGAGTGTAACAAGATTATTCGTTCCAGATTCCCAATGCTCTTTGCAGGCAGCACGGAAAAACTTAGATCCCTCGCAAACCAGGTCCTTTTTGACATAAAATTCCTGTTTAGTCTTCCCTACGATGATCTTGAGAGGTGCGGAAAAGCTTTCGCTATTGATCTGTTAGCCTCAGATATTAGATTTGGAAGGAAGGACAGAAAGGCGGCTCGCTAACAAGTTGAAAATTTTTCTCTTCTTAGTCGCTGGCTCTGACATGCTGGCTACGTAGCTACAGCAGATCGTCGATTTACGATCTGATGAATTATGAGATCGCATATGCCACAGGGGGGCGTACAAAGTCGAGAGCACCCGATCGAAAGATACCCGATGTTATAGAGTGGTATCTCTGTTGAGTTGTACAAACTTGCTGAGTGGGATGGCTGTGTGAAGATTAGGTTTGGAAAGGTGAGAAGTTGCACGGTTTGTATGATCGTGAACTAGTCGGGGTGGAGGACTGTCACGGGACACCAGAATACCACGCCAGAAAACTGTTTTCCAGCACTCTCCTTTTGACGGGCATATTTAGCCTTCATAATAGAGACAATGTGCTCATTTACTCAATCACATCAAACAAATATAGCTTTTCTCGTCATGGTTGAAATCACGCCTTTTATGCTCGAATGCCTCGTTCTTGTTGTTGGTCTATGCTGGACATAGACCAGTCTGGGCTTGTAATACACTGCCGTATGGGAAGAGAATTTGGGTAAACCATGGTAGTTTTATGATGATCAAATTCTGTGTTTGTATATTTTGAGTCGTATCTTGTTACTATAACCATTTTATTCTTGATTTTGTTGCAAAACATTATATTTATCTACTGCACAGCATCCATTTTTCCCGTCCGGAAGCCTCAACAAGAACCCCAGAACAAGAAAAATGTATATCATTTAGTCTTTGTGAATAGCCTTTGGGGAAGAAAGGAGGCTAGTTACGCTAGTTTAGGCGTGAAGTATTAGAACAGGTATCTGTGATGTGTCGCTTACTCGTCTAGTCTATTCTTATGTGTGTTTGATTTTACAACCCCATCAATCAATTTAAAAACTTCCTTTTGTGAGAACTCAGTCACAAGCAACTGTTCTCCGCAACCCAAGCATACATAACCATCCAACAATACCATCTAGAATCTCTGTTTGTGGAAAGCTAGTGAGTATCATGGTACTTGATAGGGGATCATATAGTGGTTGTTGATTTATGAATCCCTCCACTCATATTTCATCTTCTTCTTCCTCATCAGAACTCTCCCCATTCTGCTCCGCGATGCAATCGTAATCATCTGGCTTGCCCTCGTGCAGGTAAAGTCACAATACTGGGATGAAGAAGGACGTGATGCTCCGACAGGTCTGGTGTAGAATCGGGCGGACTCAGTAATAACATCGCTGATATAATCGTGACAACCAAGCTCAATGAGCTCCTGAACGTAAGCCGGGGTCATGAGAACTTGTTCGCAGAGGTGATATCGGTGCAAGAACATTCTCAGAGGACTGTCTGCCCAAGTTTTCACGTATATTTCGTGAATCTCCTTTGTACTGCTAGCCAAGGCTGAAATCTCTCCTTTAGGTACACTTCCAGTTTGAGAAGTCCTCTCCGTAACCAGATCAACAATGCTATCCATCACAAAGTTCTGGAACTCTTCGGATTGGATGTCAGAGCCCAAATAATAGCAATCGACAAGTTGGAAGAATCGCAGATCCATTTCTTTGACCAGCTTCTTGAGTGCCTCGCATCTGAGGCCCCCAAGGGGTGAACTTCTGATTTGAACTAGGTCCTCGGCAGCGTCGATATTGCCATTCGTAAGCCAGACGAGGAATAGGGCAAAAATATTTGGATCTTCATCAGGAGGAGCGAATGTACGACTTCTCTCGGTGCCCTTCTCGCCCGCCTTCTTTTTGGGAGTATCCTTCTTCTTACATAACTCCTCGAAAAGCTTTGACATAGAGCAGATCAACTGTTCATTGATATAGAACTCCTGCCCGTTGTCCCCCACTAAAACTTTCAGTGGTGCCGTGAAGTGATCGCTGTAGACGCGTCAGATCCATTCAAGCGTTTGGGGTTGCTACAGTAGACTTACAAGTCTTTCTTCAATTTCTTTAGTGGTGGCTCAGCCATGTTGACAGTCGTTGTTGCTCCGAATCACAAGGGATTATGGCAGATCGTGTTGTGTGTTGTCGGAAAGCCTCCGGATTGAGACCTCGAGATGTTCTGAAACGCTGAAGATCGAAGTCGCGTCCAAACGGAGTAGAAAATCTTTGTAGGAAGTCAACGCGTCTGATGAATAGAACTTGGTATTTACGCGGGGTGAATTTGCGCGGCGGTGAATCTGTGTGGATTGTAGTGAGTAAGGAAGAGGGTCCAAACATTCACTGTGTGGGATCCATGCCAAAACCAGATTAACTCACGATATAAAATGAGAATGGCGGCAAAAGTACTACATTTATGATCAATAGCTTGATAGAATATCGCGTATTTTGATATCATGAAATATGGTGTGAGGAAACATCGTCTAAATTTGATTTCCTATATGTGATGAGCTTTGCGCCCCCATATCAGCGGAACTTAATGCGAATTGAGTGGTACGTTGATGCAAGAATGGTACCCCAGTACTGACTTTACTCTGCTCGCTCAACATCGATCATGACTCTAATCCATAATGCCGCAGTTGAAAATCTCCCAGAGAGCCAAAATGAAAATATGCTCAGTCCTCCTGCATAGTTGTTGCAACCAAGATAGCTAGCTGAATGCTCTGACGCTAGTGGAAATAAACTTAAAATTGTGCGTTTGATCAAATAGCATCCGCCAAAGGTGGTATGCAACAACCAGGGTGCATTTGATGTCTCAAGCCACCGTGACTGTGATAGTAGCACGGATATCGGTCCCATGGAGCCGTAGAAAACGATGTGCCATAGAACTTCTTAGCTATGGCGAACATCTCGAAGACATAATCCTGCAAACCGCCCTTGATGAATTTGGCCATATACTCGGATGTCAACTCAACTTTCATGTGTAGATGATATTCAAGTAGAAGTCGCCTCAAAGGCGATTTCGCTGTAGTTTTGGCGTAGAAAGTCTGAATTGCTCGAAATCCAGTACAAAGACATATGGCATTGAGTTTGGGATAATGGTATCTGATATGGTCTCGATACCTGATGATCACGAGTATTTCATCGATTATGTGATTCTGGAAAGCTTCAGATTGGAGACAGTCCCCTAAGAAGTAGCATTCTAAGAGTTGATAAAACCGACTCGAGTTGTCGTTCATAATTATGTCGTGTATGCGGTTTTCATTGTCGGCAGTACGAACGTGGTCGTCCACCGAAATACCGTCCAATTTCGGAGTAGGGAAAATATTGTTTGAAGCCTTGATACTGCCAGTTGTCAACCAGGCGAGGAATAAGGCAAATATCTTCGGGTCGTCTTCTTCGAGGCACACCACGTTGTCTCTGCCAGATTTCCATTCCTTCTTGCATGCGGTCTTGAAGAAGTCTGAATGGCAGCAAATGAGTTCCTTACTGACGTAGAACTCCTGTTTTTTCTTGCCGACTTTGATTTTGAGGGGGAAGCCAAAGCTGGCACTATAGGAGTGTGAGATTCGAAGAGGTTAATGGTGTTCGATGCACTTACAAGCTCAATTTTCCTAATTTCAAGGCAGGTGGTACTGACATACTGAGAGCTGCGTGGAAACTTTCCGACATCTGGGTCGATAATGATGGTCGACGATGACTTTTGGACGAACGAGTGGGTAGATGTGTTCTTCGAGCGTTCGGCGAAAATCAGAGTGGAGGGAGTGGAGGAGCGGTGCAGCTCTAGAAGTTTTCTATGGGAGCTGGAGATCTAAAAAAGATTCACCCGGGGCTAGTATGTGATGCTGTAACACTCCACTCACCTATTCCCGAAAATTCATTTTGCGACGTCAGTGAATGAGAAGCAGGTATATCATACCAAAATCAAGATCACAAATAAAAGGAAATATGCTTCATCTCTCTCATATTATCAGACATAATACAGTTATGTGCTTGTAACTTCCCCCTTTGCGGGTCATAAAACATGGGAATGCCATCTCTTATAACTGTTACATCGTCCTCCAAAGCCAAATACCAACTAGACATTCTCAGACAGTCCAATTTAGTATAAACCAAGGTAAAGTTCCTGAGTAGGCAGAAACCACATGTCACATAGGAGAAATTTTCCATATGACTAGGCAGTTGGATAGAACTCGAGGAATGCTCACACCTTCGACAGTGGGCAAACATAATCCCCAGACTCCTGCGAATGGATATGATAATAGCACCGAGCTGGATAGCATGGCGATGCTAGCTCTTGATCATAGCCTTGCACAAATCCACCGAGCGTGTCACCAATATAGTCTTGCAAGTCGAATTCTATGTACTCCTTGAGTTCGTAGGCCTCCAGGAGAAGTTCCTGCAAGCTGAAGTCTATGCGTTGCTTGGGTTTGGAGGCATCCACAATCGTTCCTTCGAGAAGTAAGTACTCGAAGAGGAATTTTCTCAGCGGAGAATTTTGTGGAATTCTGTCGTAAAGGTCTTTTTTCATGGCTGGGGTACCAGCGAAAAGTTTGAAGTCGTGAATTCCTTCAACAGGCATATCGTGCTTAGATTTGGCCAAATCGACTATGCTATCCATGATGTAATTTTGGAATTGTTCAGCTAGAAGTGAGTAGCCAAGAATGTAGCACTCGAGAAGCTGCTTGAATCGTCTGTCCATCTGATTCATCATGTCCTGAGGCGAAATGAGTGGGACTGTAGACGTGATTTCATTGTCACTTTCATCGTCACTTTCATCGTCAGTTCTATCGTCAGTTTTTGAATCATAAAGTCGTGGCATATCAACTAGAGGGCCAGCGGTGGTGATTGAACCAGTCGTGAGCCATACAAGGAAAGCAGCAAAGATTTCGGGACTATCTTCTTCAAGCGTGACAATCTTGTTCCTGCCCGAAGACCACTCTTTTTTGCAGGAAGCCTTGAAGAAACGAGATTTTGAACATATTAGCTGCTGGCTAATATAAAATTCTTGCTTCTCTTTGCCAACAAATTTTTTTAGAGGGGTACCGAATGCTTCACTGCGGAGGAAGTTAGAGGGCTAGATCATAACAAGCTGAGAAGAGAGGTGCACTTACAAAGTCAGCTTTTCTTTCACTGGTGGATGGATTCTCAGCATCATCTTGAATTTCTTGCTTGGGTGTAATATCGCGAGAGACTTGATGTCGACAGGTCAAGAATGAAAACAGATGTTATGTGTTTATTAGTGGTAAGGAACAAGTTATTAGTGACAGATGAGAATTTGATAGATCGGTCGGTTGGTGTGTCCAAGGTGAATCAGGTTTGAAGATTTAGAGGCATATTCAAGGTTGTGAAAATAATAACCCCCTTGGGCCTGATTCTTGGTGAATTTTGGTTATCAGATCAAGTCGAAGGCGATCAGATCAAGTCGAAGGTGGCTCAGTTATAAACTTACTGGAATATGAGCGAGTTTCTCCAGGCCATGAGCAAGAAAAGCGCATAAGGAATGCGGGTCTGCAAAAACATGGTGTTCTATACCACTACGAATAACTAAAAGTCGGATCGACGAGATCATTGACTGCTGCGATTGATGAACAAAGCGAGGAAGTGTGTTATTGAAATAAGTTGCTGCTTTAAATCGCAGCAGCGCTGCTTTTGTCAACCTCTCAGGAATCACAAGGCTGAAGAATTCCACAAGTGGTTGCCAACCACACACAAGAACACCCCCCCATCATTCCATTTGAGTTCATCAAGAGGCATACAACCCCATCTAACAAACCGTCGCAAGAGCCTTTCGATTACGATGGCTGATACAGAGATGGACGTCGACGTACCTGCGTCTCCCAATAACACCAACACCAAGAATGCCTCTATGGCGACACACGCTGGCGCGACAGCCGTCCGCTCAATTGAAGGCTGGATTGTAATCGTTACAAACCTCCACGAAGAAGCCAGCGAGGAGGATCTTACAGATTTGTTTCGGGAGTTTGGTGAAATCAAGAACTTGCACTTGAATCTCGATCGCAGAACTGGTTATGTTAAGGTGTGTGCAGCAACTTTCCTGGCCTACGAGGCGGAAGCAGCTCATGAGCTTTGGGGATGTTTGAAGAATTTGAGAAGAAGCGAAGAGTGTATATACATACGGCATCGGTTTATATTGCTAACAGAGGAATCACTGTAGGGCTACGCATTAATCGAATACGCGACACTCGATGAGGCACGCGCCGCCATTGACGGAGCTCATCAGGAGAAACTCCTCGAACAGACCATCGAGGTGGACTTCGCGTTCGTTCGACCTCCTCCAGGAAAAGCTAAAGGAAGACCACCACCAAAAGGCAGGGCTAGAAGTCGGAGTCGCAGTCCTGCAAGGAAAGATGAGATGGCAGATTGAATCGAATTGAGATTGGTATGGAATTACGCGAAAACCGAGGACAAGTCATCCGAAAAAATGATGGTCATCGACGTACAGACCATTTGGATGAGATGTGGGGGAGATATTGAGCCGATGTGTCTGTGGGGGCATATCGGCGTGTATGATCCTAAAATTTTTGTGAGTCTGCATTGGTTCTATCTGTGAAACATTCTCTGATTGCGCTTTAGAACGAATCCTACCACACCGGCTCATTGCCGAATGCAGCACAAGCCTATCATACAAACTTTCTGACGGATTCCATTTAGTGATTGTAGTAAGATGAGGATAATAGGACTGTGAGCCTCAACTAATGGCTGCCTCGTCGGTAGTAGAAGCCCCCTTGTGTAGTAGGATATTGTGAGATATTCTGCCAATTTCGAGAGTTTCTTACTATCGATGAATGCGTCTAGGGCTCAGCACATAATCCACTCGTCATTTTCGCATTGATACCGCTATTACCAGCCAGGAATTGCCCAGACTGGTCTCTTAATTTCTCGAGAAATCTTTCACGTAGTATAGCTTGTGAACCCTTCATCCAGCATTTTGGAGAATCTGGATATATATTTTTCTTCTGACGTAGGTTGTGATTATGTACCAATTCTTGCGCCAGAATTATCAAGAAAGGTTCTTCACAACCTCATCAAAGACCTCTTCAGCATGCCTCTCTGCATCGAATTTCAGAATCCAATCCTCGCGGGGAAGTTCAATACTTTTAGGATCTTTCTTTACCTTATCCCAATCAGCTTTATGCCACATATCTCTCGTCGTCTCTCCTATCTTCTGTACAGCTTTTACTCGATCATACCTGATCTCCTGATATGCTCTCACAGCTGCGGCAACATTTTGCTTGCCAGCTCTTTTCAAACACACGGCAAGTGTTACGCCGTCTTCTAAGGCTTGTGTCGCACCTTGCGCGCTCGTTGGCAAGAACGGGTGAGCAGCGTCTCCTAGCAGACATATTCTGCCTTCCTTGCTCACCCACGTGGGTAAAGGATCCCGGTACACCAACTTCCAATCTACGATACTGGGCGTCTTTTCCACTATCCGTTTACACATAGGATCCCATCCTTCTAGCACTTTAAGCACATCTTCAAGTTTTCCCGGAAACGACCAAGATTCATCTATATCGTGTTCGTCTTTGTGCGTTAACACCCAACAGCAATCAGACCCGTTCTTGATGGTGGAAAAGAGAAAATGAACGTCTGGGCCTATCCAGCCGTTAAAGGTATCGCCGTTGGTGCAGAATGGCGCCGTGAGAGGGTCCAAAAGCATGTCTTTGTTCGAATACCTGCAACATCAGTACGTATTATGTCAAGAAGGGCATCAAACCTACCATGCTCGCCAAACAGCATACCCCGAACTCTTCGGTTTATCTTCATACCCCAAAACCAGTGTTCTAGCCTTACTCCTCACCCCATCCGCACCAACAACCACATCACCTCTCACCACCTCCCTCTTTCCCTCATTCTCCACCCCCACACCTCTTACCTCAAACTCCACACCCGCCCCCTCGCCATCCTCGAAATACCTCACCACTCTCCTTCCCAGATGTATCTTGATCCCTAAACTCTCGGCATACCGAAATACGATCTCATGCAGCTCTCCTCTGTGCCCATTAAACGCAGGCGCCTCTTCATTCCGTGGCGCGGCCGCTTGATGACGGACAACTTCGCCGGTATCGTATTTGTGGATTTTGAAACCGTAGGTTTGTAGGTTTATGGATATGGCGCGCATTGAGGCGGATACGCTTCCGTTGTCCCACTGCAATAACCCCATATTAGCTTACTTACTCATATCGAGAGAGGAGTGGTAAGGTAAGGGGTATTGGGGGAAGGAGACAAACACGATGAAATATCCGCCCTCCATTATTCCCGAATGAGATTATGTCACCAAGTGGTTTCAATTCTGGGAATGATTCGTAGATTTCTACGCTGTGGCCTTGTCGGTGCGATTCTATTGCTGCTGTGAGACCGCCAAAACCTAGGCTGTGTTAGCTGTAATGTTCACAAGGTAAGGAATCGGGTTTGAGGGGGTGTTAGGATGAGTTGAGGAGGGAATAAGGGTAGCTTACCAGCTCCTACTACTATAACTTTTATCCCTGATTTTGGCGGGATTGCACCGTCTGCTACTATGGAGATTGGAGCCATTGTGAATTACTTTGACTTCACAGTCCCTCGAAATATAATTTGAGCAAGAAGATTGTCTTTTGTAGAAGTACATCGGAACTCCGAGGTAGTCGGATCATTCTATACAGTGTGTCAGATGTGTACTTGGTATTCTTCCAGGCCAATCATGGGATATGTTTGGCTTCCGGGTGTTTATATCTTGGTGGGGCTGAGGTGATGTGGGGGAGGGACCCCGCAATCTGGGTAGAGGAGGGGGTTTAGAGGGAAAAAATTCAGAGGACGGACTTGGATTGGTAAGTGGCTTGGTTGTGAGGTTTGTGGTGAAATGAGGTGAGGTGATGATTGAGAGTTTGTTTGATTACCAATCGGTGTTTTGGATACTGGGACAATTTTGAAGATGCTGTGGTCTAGTACATGTTATGTAAAACCAACCAGGGGTAAGATTCACAGAAGTTTGTGCCTGTTGGAAATGATCGTTGATTGACTGAGTATCTGTTCTGTTGTTGGCCTATTGGGCTCTACTCATGGCCGTTGCGAAATTTGACGTGACAAAAATTTGGGATTCGGAGGAATCCTGAGTACTTGACGACTTTAAACTTCCCATCATGTGCTGCAGTTTCACATCAATCCAACCGACAAAGGTATGTTTTCGATACTGTGAAGGTATTCGAAGTTTCTTGCACAGGTGTTAGCAACTTATCGTTCCACAGAAGTGTAGAATTCGTTGGTGTAAACGTGACAAGGCATCAACTGAGCTGGATTATTCCAGAGTTCACAGTGGGTGACTTCTGATACAGATTTGTGTCACCTGGTTCCTCTGCGTTCATATATATTGCAACCGCCGAAGAGCTATCAGGTAGCACAGGTTGTAGCGCTTCACGAGGTCTCTAAGCAAGAAGCTGGATCCTGGGGAATAGGGCGGTTGACGCTACCACAAGACAGGATAGCTGTGTATGTATTAACTTGGATGCTAGTACTAGCGTTGTGCAATGGTGTTTCATACTCGATTGCTTGTAATTTCTGTGTGACTTGTGGGATCGTCGAGTCTCTGGTCGAAGGTTGGACAATAGTGTACAGCCATTAGAGCTTAAACATCTGTACCTTTGTACACTCTCATTTTGGAAGTATAGGGAGATATTGTCAAGCATCTATACACTTACTAACTCCTAGCACAATAGTTGGTGTATTATTAGTATGTGTTTCGCAGTCCCAATCAGGCAACTCAACATCGCATACGGTGGCCGAATGACCCCACCATTGAGCCTCTGCCCACCCTTGTCCCCAGCACGAGGCCAACCTTTGTACAACCACAACTATTATCCACCACCAACATCTCTTTGACAACACCTCGTGCGCTCCTTTCATTGTCTCAAATAGGTTCACCACCATGATATATTAGATGTCTTCCATTTTTCCTCCCTGAGTGTTTCTCCTAGCTCGATGCCTAGGACATTTCTCTTATCTCGTTCCTCGCGATGCACTTGCCATTTGCACATCGACTCCTGCTCTTCCTTTTGAGCTTCACGTTTGGCGCATATTCTTCGATCGAAAATGCGGAAATTCATCTTTCACGTCCCTTGCCGGGAGTACAGGAAAATCAGCAATTTATCCCTCAATTGAAACCACCAAAGAACGACGATTTCTCCGACTTCCTGGATGCGCTCGGCGTTCTACAGGACGATTACTTCGCAACATGGCAAGGCATATGGCCTACATCGATAGATTGGACATCTGCAGTCCTGGGCACATATCTTTCAGCGGCATTGACGACGATTTCACGTTCTGCTGGCGATAATGCGAATCTTATCAACAAGTACTTCTCCGAGTTGGTAGCCTCGTATTTTGGACAGGATGCATTCGCACTTCGACAAGAAGCATATGATGATATGCTATGGGTAGTTTTGGGGTGGTTAGAGAGCATCAAATTCATCAATGTGCATTCAGAACTGCATTATTCGAATTCGACATCACCTTGGTACGGCACAATCTGGACTTCAGTATTCGCGCATCGCGCGCGGTTGTTTTGGGATCTGGCATCACAAGGTTGGGATACGTCGTTATGTAATGGTGGAATGGTCTGGTCACCTTATCTCGAGCCTTATAAAAACGCTATCACGAACGAATTGTATATCACGGCCTCGATTTCTATGTATCTTTACTTTCCGGGGGACGACAATCCTTCTCCGTTTTCTTCGCAATCGCTGCCGCGGATGAATACTGCGATGATTCCTCCGGCTCCTCCAAGAGATCCGAAATATCTTGCTGCGGCGGTTGAGGGATATAAGTGGTTAAAGGGAAGCAATATGACTGATTCTGGAGGGTTGTATGTTGATGGGTTTCATATTTCGGGGTGGAGGAAGAATAATACCCAGGATAACAAGCGTTGTGACTCGAGGAATGAAATGGTCTATACGTACAATCAAGGAGTGCTTTTGTCGGGTCAACGAGGACTCTACGAGGCAACAGGTGCCAAGTCTTATCTCGAGGATGGACATGAGTTGGTCGCAGATGTCATTGCCGCTACGGGATGGAACCTTAAAACCGACTCTCTTCTAATGGATCACGAAGACAATTCCATTCTTGGAAAATGGCATGGTCTTGGCCGAAGTGGGATAGTAGAAGAAGCATGTGATGCGCCAGGATACTGCTCTCAAGACGGCCAGACCTTCAAAGGCATTCTCTTCCACCATCTTACCCTATTCTGCGATCCCCTCCCCGACCATCTCGTCCTTCCTGACGATGATGTCGCCGCACAGTCTCTCGAAGAAGTAAGAAAATATCATTCGAAACAATGCGCCAAATACAGCAACTGGATCAAACACAACGCCAGAGCAGCACTTACCACCCGTAACAAGGCTGGGAAGTTTGGTATGTGGTGGGGTGCTCCTGTCGACACAGCTGCTGGTCGGAATATCCCGGCACAGATCCCGGATCAGGCTGTTGATTATAGGAATTTGGGGACGCCGGAGAGTTGGAATGGGAAGCCGTTTGGCGGTGGCAATGAAACGATGGAAGCGAATTCTAGTGGTGGAGTGGAGAAGAGGGGAAACGGAAACATGAAGGGGAGGTCGGAGATGGGGATCATGGATTTGAATGATCGGGGGAGGGGGAGGACGGTGGAGACACAAGGAGGTGGTCTGGCGCTGTTGAGAGCACAGTGGGAGTTGGTTGATGAGGTTGGGGCTTGAGAATGCATAGGGTTAATGGCTAAGGGTGTTTGCATTTTAGAGGGCATAGATGGGGATTCGAATGGGCATTATGTAAGCGAGACTGGTGGGTTTACATTTATCATTAGATGGGAGGATACCTTAATCTTGGGAGTATAGAGATGGCCTCACGGCTTGCGATTGCGAATAGATGGGCATTGGGCTTTTGAATACATATCATTCAGCGGTCCTCGCGCTATTCCCTATGATTGTGATTGGAAGCAGTGATCGCTTAACGAAGAAGTGGTATATACATTTTGTAGCCAGCAGATCCAATCACCTGAACTCAACCAAATCGAGCACACTGATCACAGGATCCTTACACGTCCCCCTTTCCAAATCACCACACGTCTTAAAATTCACCCACCACCGTATCCCATCGCCCTCACCAGAACCCTAACGCCAAACTCCACATTTCCCAAATTCATAAATTCATCACAACAACCATTTGGCATGAGGAGTCTTAGCTCCTATCCACCCAAAACCCATACCCACTAGGTGACGTGTAGTCTAATACATCAGGTACTGCTTCCCAGTTTGATGGTTTTCGGGAGTATAACACTTTTGACTCTGTCCTTGACGTGGTTTTTGATGTTGGGAGAAGGTTTGGCGACGAGGTGGTTTTTGGGGTGGAGGATGAACCCATTTTTCTTGATTCGAAGAGTTGTATTGATTGCGCTATGCTGAGGGGGAGGAAATCCATTTTTGTGATGTGAGGGGGATGGGGTGAGGGTGGTGAGGTGATGAGGTGTTGAGATGCCTTTCAAGAATCAAGTGTTTTGGTGGGTCAACTAATTTCCACCGTGGTATTTTGTGGTGATACGTCTAGATATCAGAGAGTAGACAGGCCACTCGAAAAGCGTTCGGTAGAATTTTTGACTTGAATAGAAGAGCCAAGTGATTGTGTTGATGTGATGCAGTTGTCAAAGTAATCAAGACGCTTAATAATTGTGTATGATATTGATTTAATTAATCTATTTCCCAGAAAAGGCACCTCCTAATATATCCAACCTCCTCATCAACTGTCAGAAAACATCGGAACATATGGCCGATCGGATCCGAGGTAAAGTACGGCCTTAGAAAATGTCCGCGTAATGGCGGAGACTTTTATAAGCAAAGCCATCGAGCCACTATCGATGGTGATTGGAAATCGTCGTATATCGGCGTAAAAACGTCGCGAAAGGGGCGAAGAAATGCTGATATGAAGATGATGATGAATTTAAAGTAACAATCTCGCGCGTAAGAAAGTGATTTAATTGCGTTCAAGTGAAAAGAAGATGTGTTTTCTTCAGCCGTCGTTGGAATTGAATTTAGCGACTCTCGCTTAAATTTAGGGCGATCCGGGCTTCTGGAACACTGGGCAGCTAAATGGTGGGGAATAAGCACTTGGGGTAGACGGACCTTTCAGAAAACAATCGGCAATTAGGCAAATACATGAAGATCGACTGAACATTAAAGTTGCTCCATGTCCCACTTACTTACTCCTTAGTTGTACATCTCCCATTCCCCTCACGTTTCCACTAAGTCTATTGCTGTCGTACAACACCGGACATAATCTCTCGCTTAGAAAGGGGTCGGTCCAACCTCTAGGCCGATCGAACCGTTTAAGGCCGTATCCCACAGCGACGAAGCAATATGTTTCAGCCCACTATCCAACCCCCAATTCGCAGAATATCTAGCCATAGAATCTGTGCACTGAGGCAGGATCCGTAGTCTCTTTACGCCCGTACTAAACTTACAAGCGCAGCACATCTCAGTCACCATGGGACACAGGATCACGAGAACGTCGCCATGTTCGTCCGAGGGAGAACGCGGCGTTGACACAGCTCATCGCATGTGGTGGACGGAGATGAAAACCTGATCTGTTTGTTCGCCGCGTCGTAATTTTATCTCAGCTTTCCCCACAACCCTTAGTCCGGACGTGCCGAGTTCAGCAATAATCGTCGTCGTTTGAACTCTAAAAATCGCTTCAAACTGGCTATGCCAGCCCCCATCTTCCGCACGCCTCCTCAGCTGCCCATCGCGTTTTGCCATACACCTGAAAGTTTATTCCGGATTACCCAGGAAGTGGTTGCTGCATCTAGGAAGAATTTCGATCGAATAGCGCAATTGGGTGAGGATGCGGTGGATTTTGAACGCGGGGTGCTGCCGATTGCGCATCAGGAGAATGAACTCACGAATCATGGATCGCTGACGGGGTTTTATAAGTATGTGGCGCCTGAAAGGGAGCTGAAAGATGCGTCGGTTGCGGCGGATAGGATATGGACTGCTTATGCGAGGGAGGTGACGATGAGGGAGGATTTGTTTAAGATTATTGATGGTGTGTATGTTACTCAGCATGATTTGGATGATGAGTCGAGACATTATTTGGAGAGGAAGAGGACGGGATTGCTGAGGAATGGATTGGGGATTCGACATCGACAGTCGAGGAATTATTTCGAGGTGCTTCAGAATCGGATTGATTCTCTGTCGTTGCAATGTAGTCGTCATATCAGAGAAGATGATAGTGGATTGTGGTTTACCCCAGAGGAACTCGAAGGATTACCGCAAACATCACTTTGGCGACTACGACAAGGCCGAACTGGTACAGAGAACGAGGGCAAATTCTGGTTGTCTTTCAACACTGTGGATTTGAACTTCGCACTAACATATGTGGAAAATCCTGAGATTCGAAAACGCATTTTCATAGGCAGCGAGAACCGGTGTCATAAAAACACACCAATAGTCGAAGAAATCATCTATCTACGAGCAGAAACTGCAGCATTGCTAGGATTTGATCATCACGTGGATTTTATGACAGCAGACAGGATGATGGATTCCAAAAGCATTGAATCTTTCCTCGGAAATCTAAGCTCGCAAGTATCGGCAACGGCGGAGTCAGAAAGATATCTCATGTCCATTCTAAAACGTGCGGATCTCGAGGCTAGAGGGATATGTCACCTCAAAATAGACGAGCGAATCTACCTCTGGGACGAAAAATACTATGCTCGGCTTTTGAAAGAAAATAATCACTATTTCAACGAAGCGCGTCTAGCTGAATACTTCCCCTTGGAAAACACACTTAAAGAACTCTTGAAACTAGTAGAAGAATTCTTTGGTATCGTGTTTGAAGAAATATCGGCCGAATGGGGTGCGATTCTCATGTCCGAAATCAACGAACTGCCATCCTCATTCCTTTGGCACCCAGATGTAAAGGTTTACGCGGTATACAATGAACCAGCAATGAACAACGAGTTCCTAGGATACTTTTACATGGATCTGCTTCGTCGTCCAGGAAAATGCGATCATCCATGCAACGTAACCTTCCAAGCCGTAAGTCCCAAAAATCCACCAAAACCATACTTTCCACCCCCAAATCCAAACACTAAACCAAGACATCTAGGGCTTCACAACTTCCACCGGTCAACCCCACTACCCAAGCACCTGTCTCCTAACCTCCTTCCCCCCACCCACACCCACCCAACCCACGCTATTACGGCACCACAATCTCATCTCCCTAATCCACGAGCTCGGCCACGGAATCCACTACCTCCTCGGCCGCACCGCCTACGCCTCCACCTACGGCACATCCACCTCCAAAGACTTCGTCGAGATCCCCAGCAAGCTCCTCGAGAACTGGGCATGGGAACCAACCATCCTATCTCGACTCTCTCGGCACTACACTTACCTCCCAAGCCCCTCCCCTCCAACGCCGCCTAACTCTCCCCCCACTCCACGACCAGACGAAAAGGCTCCGCCAGAATTATTAAACAAGTTAATCGCATCGCGCAATTTCAACGCCGCGACCGCGACGCAGAAACAACTCCATCTCGCTGTCTTCGACAACATAATCCATTCCCGCCGTATCGCTCCGGGAGATTTGGGGAAGTTGTATAATTCGCTGAGACGCGATATCACGGGACTCATTGGGGTAGAAGAGGGATGTGGGTTTGCACGGTTTGAACATCTTTTTATTGGGTATGATGCTGGGTATTATTGTTATAGTTTGTAAGTTGCGCTTTCTTTTCCTTTGATGTTGTGCGGTTTTTGGGGGTTGCTGATAATGGGTTTAGGGCGAAAAGCTTGGCGACGGAGATTTATGCGCAGAAGTTCGTGCAGGATCCGTTGAATGGGGTGGAGGGGAGACGGTATCGGCGGATGGTGTTGGAGAAGGGGGGAGGTAGGCCTGAGAGGGAGGTTTTGGAGGAGTATTTGGGGAGGAGGTTGAGGTTTGAGGGTGTGTGAATGGGATGAGTTTGGTGGGTTTAGGCGAGTGAAGAGGTCGGTGTGGAGGAGGATATGGAAGATTACTGAAGTAGGGGGTAGGCCAAGAGAAGGTTGACTTTGGGAGAAATAGGGGGATATAACGGATTATTTGACGTATGATCGCAATTTCCATTGTTCATTATGTGATTTCTGACTTAAAATAACCCCTTTACTCGTTAATTCAGTAGTCTCGCCCTACCGACAGATGCGAGATCCACATGGCACCAAAACCAACAACCAAACTACCAACGCTTTATCAGTACCTTGAATCTACTTCAAATAACGCCAACCCACGTAGAACGAAGTGTACGTGACCCGTTAAGGATCTCACAGTCGATATCTTATATTAGCATACCATAAACTATAAATTTTGAATTATAGACGTCTGTCACGTCTCAGAGGCAGATATGCCGATTTATTCCAGCGTTTCAAAACATAACCTCACCCTATGAGTTCCACGAGTGACTAGAAACCATCGCAGGATGTTTCTCTCCTCGGCCATCTCATAAAGTGCCAGACGCATATTTCTCGAGCAATCTATTCATGATAGATAGGATATACTTGAATTGACCTATCAAGATGACGCATTTGTGTTTCGACAGATTTGGATGGCGTATGGGGTGATGTAGAGAATTTGAAATAGGCGGAAACAAAATACGAGCAAAAAGATTACTTAGCCTCATGAGGCGTTGATTAGCGAAAGATCGGGTGTTTTTTTTTCAGTAATATTACGTCTCAAACCTTCACCAATCTCTAATAAGAAAAAAAAGGTTGATATCTACACTATCCAAAAAGATTCTACCTCTCAGCGCTCGCGTGCAAAAAGAAAATCCAAAAATAAGAATAACCCTCAGCGCCTTCTCGACGCTAGCAGATTATGGTCCCATGAGTCCTGTCAGGTAATTAGCTCATGAAGTTTTAACCATAACCAGGCTCGGGGCCACTGGTTGTTATGGGCTGTTCTTATTGGAGGAAAATGGGTCCGTTTTGATATATAAATGGATGATTTGGTTTGGAGTGGGGCTGGGAGAGCCGATGGTAAGCCGGGAAAAGTGAGGGAGTTGGTGAATGGAATTTGGGGGGTTGGTATGAGGATAAGGTTGGTCGAGTGAGGCTGGGAGCTGGCGAAGGTGAGGTCCAGTGAGGAAGCGTGAGTCGGTAGTAAGGCGAGCTTGGAGATGCTGTTTACTTTCTTGTTTTTTGTAATGGGAGTAAACATCAAATCTGGATCTTGATAATCTCACTCGAGAACGCGAGAACTCTGTTTCGTTCGCATTTCCTTGCTTCCAATAAATATCTCGCACGCTTTTTTGTTACTTTTCTACCACTATATATTGCACGAATCGATTTTGTTGTTTCCCAGGCCGTCAAAAGCTTCAAGACCTTCATTTTCAACGATAGATTTTCCACTAGGGCAAAAGTCCGATCAGTGGCTACTGACAGACAGAGATTTTCTTTGCCCGTAAGTTCATCATAGCTTGTGCTGGACTAAATGATTTGCTCATATTTAGCAGGGTCGATATCGATCTTATCTTCTCGCACACGACCCCAGTATTGCTCCAACCATGGCCGTCCAAAGAATCGTTCCCGCTTTTCAAGGTATTGATGATGCCACAGCTGCTCTAATCCTACAACTTCTACTCCAAGACTCGGAAGAGCTCGCTGCAAGTGGTGCTAAGGGTAAAGATCGGGCAGGTACTTCTGCATCGGATTCTGAACTAGCCGTGTTGTTGTATCAGCAAGAATTGAAGAAGAGTGAACAGTTCGTCAATGATCGTCAAGTTGCTGCTCATCTTGATCCGTTGGGTACTATTACATATAATGGGTTGGAGCAGGCTCGACGTATCAAGGCGGCACGTATCCCAGTAACGGCAAATGCTATAGTCAGAGCTCTTATTACAACAGTTGCAAAGGAAGAGAATGATAAGGGTCCAAGTCTTACATTCAGCAGCACGATCGCCAAAGCAGCTGCAAGTTGTCCATCACCAGAAAAGTTGTCTTCGAATGCTTCAAGCTCAGGAAGTTCCACCCAGTCGGACGATACGTTCAAGACTAGCAAAACATCCATCGTATCTCAATCAAACTCCAACTCGGTCAAGAATGCAGAAATCAACCAACAAGTTGCCGAGTCCTCCGCTTGGGCAGCTTCAAGAAACACGAGCAACAAGGGTAAAGAGAAGGTTACAAGATGTTGCGTTTGCTACGAAGACATTCCAACCTACGATGTAGTCGATCTCTCCTGCGAAGACCATTACTGTCGCGATTGCCTTCAACAACTATTCTCCCACTCATTCAAAGACCTAACACTATTCCCCCCACGATGCTGCAAGAACGAACTCACTCCCGAAATCGTCGGACTGCTCCTAACTTCAGATCTCATCCGCGAATTCGAAGAACGAAAACTCGAGTACGATACGACTGATAAGATATACTGCGCCAACTCGACCTGCTCGGCTTTCTTGAAAAAAGAGCATATTGACACCACAAGCAACGCAGCTTTCTGCCCCGCTTGCTGGACAGAAACTTGTACCCTCTGCAAATCTCCCGCTCACGAAGGTCTCTGCCCCGAAGACGAAACAACAAAGATGATCCTCGCCTTAGCAGAGAAAAATCACTGGAAACAATGTTCCTCCTGCAAAGCCATGGTCGAGATCTCTTTCGGATGCAACCACATGAGGTATCCCCCCCTCCCCCTCCTCCTGCCCCTCCAACTCCCCACGTTCCCACTAACAAGCCCAGATGTCGCTGCGGCACCGAATGGTGCTACCCGTGCGGCACTCCCTGGAAACACTGCAAATGCGCGCTCTGGACCGAAAACAACCTTCTCATCCGCGCGACCGCCATTGCGGATCGCGAAGCCCCTATGCCAGGAGTCAGTCGGGACGAGCAGATTAATGCGATCAAGGCGAATTTGAGGGGTCAACATTGCGAGCATGATGTGAATTGGACGTATGAGAAGGGGACGGGTCAGCAGTGTGAGAACTGCGAGGTGCAGATGGAGAGGTTTGTTATGCAGTGTGGGGGGTGTTCGGTGAGGTGGTGTAAGAGGTGTATGAAGAATAGGACGAGGTGAGGGGAGGTGGCTGATGGTGGAGGTTGTGGGAGGAGATTGAGAGGGTACGGTTGAAGGGGAGGTGGTGACGTGGATTTGAATTCTGATTCCTGATCGAGGGCCTGTTATAACAAGTTTGTGAAGAACATGCGAATGAAGACCGGTCAGATGGATAGGGAAAGGAATTGAGCTGTGTATCCACTGAGAAACATGGTTTCAGGTGTTTAAACCCTTTTTAGAAAATGTACAATTCTAGCCAGCTTGTAGCGTTGCCGAATTGAAGAATGTACCCTTCTCATCTAGAAGTAACTGTTAAGAGATCTTATGTAGCACAAAACAATTGCGAAATATTCCGCACCCAATTTCAAAACAGATCTATGCTCTATTCCAACAAGACCTCCAAAATTTTCTTAGTAACATTCCTCAACGGATTAACTCAACCTCCAAACACCCCACACACATGTCACCTCATTCCCATCATTCCCCCAATCATCACGACATATCTCCGACTCTTCCCTAATCAGCAAAAATCCATTGCCTGCCATCAACTCCCAAAACTCCTGCACCATCCTGCTCGTATTCGCATCGCGCTTCGGGACAGCAGCCAAGACCCTTGAACCTTCGTCGACTTTGATGAAATGACGGATTGCGTTGGCGACGAGAGCGGGGTGGTGGGAGTCGTAGAGGGGGTCGGAGACCATGATCAGCTTGAGAACCCGTTAGTGAATAGGCTCAGAAGGGGGGGCATGGGGCTTACTTCGAATTTATCATCATTGTCTGCAACAGTAACTTCAGAATTCTCCAAGTCCGTCCAATCTAGAACACCAGGCGCACAATACCCACCCCTACTCTCTATGATGTTCATATTTTGAAAACAATTATAACCGAGATTTTCTTGTATGATTTCGAGATCTGTGACGATGACATCGGCGCTCCATATGGCTGCTGCCGCGAGACCGAGTAATCCAGTACCAGACCCCAATTCGAGAATTTGAGGCCGCTCTAGCGAATCTCTACGCTTGATTTGTGTGAAGGTCTCGCCGTTTTCGTTTGTAAAATTTACGTAGGTAGGTTCCCGGAGGAGGTGTTGGAAGAGCTCCGTTTTGAGATAGGTGAGCTTTTGAGCGATTGCCCATGCTGTGCCCCAGGTTTTGAAACCAAGAGTATCTCCGGTCTGCACAATGTGTTAGCGCTGCGCGCGGATTCTGATGATGGAGAGATGTGCGTACCAATGGAGGTTCGCGGATTACGAGGTCCATGTCTGGGTGATCCCCATTTGCAGCAATTCTCCACGTTCGAGTAATTTCGCCTTGTGCTTGAACACGATTAGTACTGGATTCATCATTCACACGGTTGACTTACCACTCCTTCCACATCTTTCGGTCATTCTTTGACTAGCTAGATTCCACAAGACCTCTTTCTGTTCCTCAGCCAACAAACCGTGACTTTTCTCGCTCGTTTGATCTTGCAGCCAATCGAAAGCGTTGCTCAGGATCGAGGTGAGGTAACGGGGTATACCTGCTGCATCTTCCTCTGCGAGAGCCGAGATTTCGGACTCCGACCATGTTGACGGAGCAATTGTGAGAGCTTCGAGTGAGTTTACAAGTGTCTCGTAGGATGGCTTTTGGCGGAGGAGAGGGAGATCGAGGGCTGTGAAGTGTAAGCGATGATCTGAGAAACGACAGGAGGTGCATACCGTTTGTGGGAGGCATCTTATCTGCCACTGACGGAAGTATCGTTGATTGTAAGAAATCTAGATATTTTGATAACAGAAAGGAAATGAATTCGGTGCTCTTTCCAAAAGAAATCTGTTTGAAGCTCTATTCGAAGGACAAAACGCTCTTAAATACTAGAAAAGTAACGTCTTCTATTTCTCTAACGCAATAACAGAAATCTTCCCAATCTATCCGTCGTATCTAGCTTCTAATTTAGAAAAGTAATAGTAGAAAACCGGACCAAAAATTGCACGTGATCTAAAATATCGTCGTACAAGTATAGAAATATGAGGTCAAGCCATATTCGCGCTCTTAAAATCTCAATTTTGAGAACAAGAGAGTGAGATTCAGGAATGCTCAATGATGCACTTGCATTGTTGAACATTTCTCACTCGGTCGACATGTCGTTGAAAAAAGTTTACAGAAGGTACTTCGGCTAATGACCCAAATGGGGCTAGTCTTCGCACCCTGACGTATCCACTTTCGGAGCCGGACCTCATGAACGTCCTCCGAACTGCATCGTCGTCGCTTCATCTGTATGTTTTCACGAAGCCACTTGGACGGCTGGACAAACGCTGATGTCCTATGTAAGATTTGAAGAATGCGATATTTGGTGATATTGAATCTAGAGGAGCCTTGATGACCATGAATTGAGTCCACCATGATCAGTGGAATCTTCTTCTCGCGTTTCCTCCCACAGGAGGGTGAGTACTCAACCACCTCCGCTTGACTTTACCTAATAATATCAGGAACGAAAGTAGTCCATCAATCGCCACCTGGCTTCCTAGTCCCTGAACCAGACGTTGAGACTACCCCTCTATTCTCCTTCGAAACGATGCGAGAATACATCATTCCACGCCAAGCGTTTTGCAACCGCTACGTGACCATGATATGTCCGGACAACAAGTACCGTATTCTCGGCCACCCAGTCTGTATCTACGATGAGAAGTATGAGAGGAATGAATTTATGTTCAATTTTGGGATTGTGATTGGTGTGGAGGTGGATAAGACGCCTTATGAAGCCGTTGTGAGGAGGCTGGCGAGTACGTTTACGGAGATGGAGATTCAGAATCAATATCTGAGTCAGGAGAAGACGGAGGGTGGGAGACGAAGTATAGCTGCGTTGCTTGAGATTATTAAGGAGGACTTAAATAATTATAATGAGTGTATGATACCTGTCGGTAAGTACTCTCGGCCGTTCTTAAAGTATTTTACTGATAAGAACAGACGACGCGAACACGATCAACATGAAGTTGTTCCCAATATACACAACCCCCCCACCAATAAAGTCATGGCACGTTCCGATATCGAAAATGAAGTTCGCCTCAATCATTGATGATACATGGGATCTTACCATGGTGCGCATTCTTCCTCACATCGACGGCATCAAAGATGTTCGAAGGATAGCAGCAACATCATCGACATCCCTCCCACTCACCAAACTAGCACTCCAACATCTTCTCTACTACGACAGCATAATTCTTCTGCCATTATTCCTCTTCTCAGCCATCTACGCGCCAACACCTAGCCTACATACCTTCATAACATCCACCCCGATGCAAGATGAATGTGCCAATTATGTCTACATCAATGGCCCGCGCCTCTCAAACTACTATTTATGCCGTCTCTTCACCACTCTCTGCACGTCTCGCACGCTCAAAGAATGGCTCAAACTCCATCTCGATCAAGGGTTTGCAGTTCTCAACTTTGTCGATGTTCGCAGATTCATACAGTTCGGCCTCATCAAGGGTCTGATTTATCGTGTGCATAAATACGCGGTGTCAGCGCAGAAGCTGGCGGATAAAGTGAGCGGGAAAGAGCGGCTAGGAGATAGTTTGAGGGATTATGCGGATGGAACACACTGTTTTGATCAGATTACTGTAGAGAGGAATATGGGTGATGCGAAGATTATGGATGCGTTGAGGAAGTTTCCGAAGGGTGATGTTGAGATTATCTACCGATGAGACTCGTAGAGAGTAGGATATTGCAGCAACCCTGGTTGTTGAGATATGTTGATTGAATAAGGCTCTGATCCCCTTTAATTCCAAGTCTGAATGCTAGTAGTTCCTGAATGTGGACAAATAGTATTGCGACTATTCAGCAAATACTCACATGCACACAGCCAAGCAATGACTGATTTGTTTCATATAATCTACAGCAATCACGAGATTTTGAGTTTTCGAACCTACCTCATTACTCTTTGCCAAATATCAAGGAGGCTGGTGCCTGTGGGGCACAGTCCAGAGGCGGAACAGCGCAAAAGGTGGATCCTAGTCTCTGGTAGCAGACTCTCTGATTCAACTACACCTCGTTCATCTGAACTACAACTCACTGACGTCCTATCCACTTCACCCCATTATTCACCACAACCTTCACCTTTGTCATCCTTCGCGAGCCTGAATCATATGGTTGGTTGCTGTGAATGGGCTCGGCTCACTATTTAAGCGTTTTCTCCCTCGGCCGCGACTCTCCTCGAAACAACATGAGAATGTGATATACAGATTTCATTTGCTGTCTTGTGATGTTTAGTGTTCAGTATGTGAGGTTTTAAATGTCCTTTATTGCATAATTATCGTACCTGTACGCTCGAGATGTCAACCCGACGAAGTTGTCCGGCGCTGGTGAGGTCGTCACCATGTCGCCGGATCGACAAAGGGGTAATGTTCACCTCGAACGATACGGAAAGGCCCGTTCAGGATATCCTCATATTTAGCAGCCGCAAATGAGTTTCTGAATGGTCTCTTTTAGTTGTTGTGGCTTTTGGAATGTGTTCTCACTCGAGTATTATTTAACAGCTCTCGTCCTCACCATCCCTCGAACTACCAGCCTCGAAGCAAACAACAAAGCCGGAGTACATCTTCTTCAAAACAAATCTATCCGGCAACTCTTAATGGTCGATATTCGAGGAGTTATTGATCTCAGTCCGGGATGAAGCATGTGCTAAAACTGATATCGAATAGTTGCTTGGCACTACACCAACCTACAAACGATGTAGCAGTCCGGCTCGGCCCCGCAGCTCACAGGATATGACAGCATCGAAAGAAGTACTAAAACAATCATTGGGGCTAACACTGTCGTGGTGTTGATTCAATTGCACCAGAAAGCTCTAAGCGTTCTTGCCCTGGATTTTGAAAAGGCACAGGATAGGTCATAGAGGGCGTAGCTCTTCACACCATAGAGGCTTTGAAAGATTTGGCAACCAGAATTGGCTTCTCATGTCGGTTGGAGACTCTCAATTTCATGGTGATTAATCTCGTTGATTTGAGGTGACATTAAAGGGTACCGGCGGTGTCCGTTGGCTGGTGTTTACTTGTCAACGAGACTAGTGCCATCCAACTTCGGTCGCTCTTGCACATTCACAGCATCAATCAGATCTCGATGATAGAACCTTGATTGTAGGGCCAAATGTATAGTTGCATCGGAGTTGCTTGGCCCTCTTTGCTTTGACACACCTTCGAAATATTCAACACACCCCGATCTAAAGCAGTTTAAACACTGAATTCTTAACACTCAATCACTACCAAATCAAAACTTCAGAATGGAGCTCTCCATGGCATTCTGCTAAGCAGAGCGGCACTCGGAATCGCGCTGATTCAGCAAGCTCGGCAGGCCTCGAGTCCAAATTTTGGTTATTCCGACGACTTCAGCTTCAATTAATCGCACCACATTTTAATTATTCACCCAGCAAAATTTCGACATTCGGCAGCATTCACACCCGAAATCCCCAGCCCTCTCAATTGAAAAAAGATCGGACGGTCTACAATTTGACGGTTTCGAATTTTTACTCCAGAACTTTTACAACTTTCGATCTACAGTTTCAATCAGCAGCTTCTGCTCAACCTTGACGAAGATCTATCACATAAAGCTTTCAACAACCGTTACTAACTACAAATACGCACCTGAAAAGTCTCGCACTTCCATCCATTCAAACCTCTACACGATCTCGAATCAGAAATTCCCGCAAATCGATATCGCTCCAAATATCTACAACTTACTGGATCGTCCACCAGCTCCAACTTTCGCTCGAAATGACGGGCACCAAACTGTACACGCCCGAGCAGGCAAACTATGTCTTTGCGAGAAACAGGGAGGGCCATAATAATGAGCAGATTGCCGAACTATTCAAAGAGCAATGGCCTAGATGGAGACACCGGGGCCGTCAAACCGAATTTACCAAGTTTCAAGCCAAATACATCTTGGGCTCTGCGGAATACCAAAGAAACTGGAAGGAGTTTAGTGAGAGGCAACAAATTTCTCCAAAGGAAAGTTCAAGAGCAAATCTCGCACTTAACAACTTTTCAACAGGGCATCTAAACCAGCACGCGCCAATTGCCTCGATGAATCACAGTAATGGTCCTCAACAGTACGGAAACAACACTTTTGCCAACGAAAACGAGCTGAAAGCCGCGTTGGAAAGATACAACAATGATTCACATATGCCACAGAATAGCACAGTCGGTTTTACTGGTCACGACGTTTCGAACATCCCTCAAAGTAACTTCGATGTCATGAAAGACCGCGAGGAAACTGAAAGAGAATGGCAAGCATTGAACCAGCAGATGCAGAGCTCGCAAAATCAAGTCCAATACCAGGGCGATCTACAGGCACAATCGCCAGCTCCATCTGGAAGAATCGCAGGGCCACAAAGAACAAGACGTCCATCGAATGTACCTGGAGCAGGACTTCCCTACCCGCGACGAATTCCAATGCCGCAATCTCCACGAGATTACTCCCACATGCTTTCTCCACCAATGTCGCAATCTTCTAGCAGAAGCGGACATCATCTCGTCGGCAGAGAACTCACCATGGAGATGCAACAGCAATTAATTTCTCCTCCAATGGCTCAGAATTCCTTCAATCCGCAGATGCTCGTCGGAAAAGAGTTGACTATTGAGATGCAGCGACAGCTTTACGAAGCAGCCCAGAGGGCACAAGGCTTCCCACGCCAGATCATGCAGGTCACTTCTCCAGGCGGGAATCGACAACAGCAACAGGTCGCACGTCAGACATCGCAGGTCACTTCCTTTGACGGGAATCGACAACAACAACAGGTTTTCCAAGCTCGAAACATGCAGCAGCAAGCCATGCAAATTAGAACTCCGGGCGAGATTCAACCACAACAATATTGCCACCAGGCTCAAAGTATTGCAAGCCCACCGACCCAAGTCACATCCCCAAGTAAGGAACACCAACAGCAGCAACTCTACAATGAGACTGGCGCTCTTCTATCTCCAGAGACTCAATCCGCGGCTACAGCCAAAGACAACCAGGAGAAACAATACTCTGCAGCGACTCCAAACAACCAGATTCAATCAACTCAAGTCATCACTCCACCAGCAGATGACCATCAACATTTCCAACAACCAGCCCCCACAACCCAAGACCAAACCCAAAGATCCCATCTCGCATCTCCACCCTCAGACCACCAATCTACACCACTCCCCGAATCCACAACCACACACACCGATCTCTTCTCTGACACCCACATCAACGCAGAGTTTCACCAACACACAGGCTATGATGGAGAGACGTTCCGTTTTGAGGATTTCGTTGACTTCAACGCGTTCGTGGATCCAAAACTTGAGCTTGCTACCGTAGAGACACAGGTTGGCGAGCACACGGGGGGTGGAGAGGAGACGGGTAATGGGAATGAGACTGCGAGTATGGGGTTTGATGGGTTTTTTGATGAGGATGAATTCGAGGCGTTTGTTTGTGGACAGAGGGGACAGGGAGGTGATGTCTAACTTCAACATATTACAACACTGCCGACGTCTCAACGCATCGATAGTTCAACAGAGCAGCAGGGTTTCATCACCTAAACCTCATCGCACACCTCACATCATACCGGCACTGTCGCCTTCTCATCCTCTTTTGTCGACACTATCGCTTCCGAACAGTTCCAAACAGGAGGGCAAAATGTCTCGATGGACTTTTTTCTGATTTCTTCTTTCCTTTCTTCTCTTTATTGCCTTTTACGAATTTCCTTTTGCTTTTATGAGAGATATTAGTTAGACGCTATAGATTGGCGTTGGATATTGCTTACTGATGATACCCGGATTTCTTTTGCGTTGGATTGGTGGTGGCTTTGGCTTTGGCTTTGGCTTTGGGGCTTGATGGGCGGTTAGAGCTAGAGCGTTGTTTGGGTTTAATGGTTTGATGGTTTGGTAAAGGGGTTGATGTGGTGGCAGGGGGATGATGGGTTGATGGGGGTGGAGGGGGAAGGAGTGAGATGGTTTGGTTTAAGAGTTAGAGAGAGGGTGTTTAGAGATGGGGTAAAGAATTCGAGATTTTAAATATTTTATAGCGAGTGGTGATGTTATTTCGAGGTGTGGCTATGATATTTGAGGCGTGGTTTGATGTGCTTGACTAAAGGTTTATGTGAAATTTGGTATGCGAGGACTTGTATATAAACATGCGACATGTATACAACCCCACCTTTCAACTTATTTGTGACCACTAATCAATCGTAACCATCTAAAACTAATAATGACTATCCGACTTAGTTTACATATCTCAATATATCGCCACATAATATTATCCTGTGCTAAGACTAGCTACTATACGTGGCCAAAACATCAACAATTCCACCCCCTCGTTCTATTTCTCGTTCTTGTTCTCGTTCTCGTTCTCTTCCTCGTTCTCTTTCTCGTCTCGGGTCTTTTTTTTAGTAGATAAGTCCCTAAGGATAGAAGGGCTGGATATAGTGAGTGAGTGAGTGAGTTTCTCATTTGTAGTGGATAGAGACATGGATGGATGGGGGATGAATAGGGGCTTGAGGGATGGGTTAGTAGGAAAGGAGGTGGTGAGGAGGTGTGGATATTAAATTGTGGGGTATACATACTAATATAGGCATTTAAGCGAGAGTAAAGGGGCTCTCCTCTCTATATCGACAAAAACCAACCAGTTTAATAATAAAAGCCACATTACTCACTTCTCTCATAATACGATTACCTATAACTTTAAAGCCTATTCTATTACTTACCTTTAAATAGTATAAAAATACGCTTTAGAATCAAACAAGAGTAAAAGTTCTAGAGTAAAGTCGTAAAGATATAACTATCTTTATCGAGAGAGAAGCTGGATTAATGTTTGATTTAGGAGGGGGGATGGGGGGAGATTGGGTATATGGGAAGGGAAGGGAAGGGGGGATTATGTTATTATGTATACTTTGGAATTAGAAAGTTTAGGTGATTAAGGGGGGGATGTTAGAGTGGGTAAAAAAGATAGTTAGGTAATTGATCTAAGAACTAGTTACTTTTCTTGCGATAGGCATGTGGGAATAGGACGTTTGAAATTCTCTAAGTAGGAAAGTGAGTAGAGGAGCGTTTGTGATTGGTTGTTGGAGGGATGATACGATTCGGGGGTCGGAAATTTATAGTTCGCTAAATAGTTAGCAAAGTCTTAATCTTCGATGGCAGAGGTATATTTCTTCAAACTTTCACAGCCATATCTAAAACTTAATGCGCTTCCACCGCCTTCCCCAACCCCTTAACAACCCCATTCCCCTCTCCTCCTACCTTCCCACCCTGGTCTTTTTCCACCTCTCCACCCCTCTCCTCCTCCTGCTTCCTCCTAATTTCCCTCAAAATCTCCGGATACCACCTCTCCCCCACATCCGGATGACTCTTCACGCGATTCTTCAGCGTCGCCTCCCCCAACGTCCTACTCCCACCCCCTCCCCAAACGTAAACTCCACATCATCCAGTCTCCCCCCATTCCTTCTCACCACCTCCCTCCTCAACTCCCTGATTTCCTCCGGCACCCTACCTATCCCCTCCCGATTCAGCTCCTCAAACTCCGCATCCAAACTCACGCCCTGAAAAAACGGGACCGAGAACCTTGCGCCCTGGCCACGAGGCGGGGAAAGCACGCGGTGCGTGGTCGACATACAAACGCCCTGCGTGAGCGCTTCCATACCCTGTCCGATGGCGACGACGAGCGTGCCTGGTATAGGCGGACAGTCTATCCATTGCCCGCTGAGGTTTTGTACTTGTAATCCCTTATGGTTGGTTACTTGGAGGAGGTAGGATGTGAACATGCTATCCTTATGCGGACCTACGCCCTGGCCTTCGCCGTCAAGTCCAAGCTCCGCGAGGTCGGGGTATTTTACAATCTTCAATTTATGGCTTTGTTCGCCGCCGCAGTATTTTTCGAAGGCGGTGGGTGGGAGACCGATTGCTTCGGCGATGAGAGTTGTGAAGTAGGCTGCTATGACGCCCATTTGGTTTATATATTCTGAATATGTGGCTTTGAAATGCGGCATGTAAGCCGGCGACGGCCATTGCGTTGGCGCAAAGAGGTTTTTATACGGGGGGTCGGAGGGAGAGGGGATGGGGTGGTCGGTCGAGAGGTCGATTTGTTCGCGGTGGTCGGTTGTGTGGGCTGTGATTTCGGCGTCGAGACGGGAGTAGCCTAGGAATGAGGGGGCGTTTTTCATTTCGATTGCGAGTCTGGTAGATATTAGCAACTAGATTGATAGAATTGGAAGGGGAAGGGGGAGTACTTCTCTTCCATAGGCAAATCGAAAAACGCAACGCCTTCCCGTATCACAGCCTGCGTGAGTTCCTCTGCTATCCCAACATTCTTGAGATACAGGAATCCGACTTCGATTAAAGCGTGTCGGAGTTGATTTAGGAATTCGGGTTTTGTGGAGGGGTCTTTGGAGAGGGAGAGGTCGAGGATGGGGATCGTGTCGAAGGACATTTTAGGAAAGCATTCGGAGTTTCAACGTTGATTCAAATCATGTACATCTGAAATTGGATTTGAGTTGGGAAGTATGTTTATATTTGGGTATGTACATTGTCGTTGTCGTACGACGTTAATCGGTGGAGCTATGGCGCAATAGTAGTGCTTCCCCAGATCATTGAGCTACCCCACTTCCCCACCTATGCGGCATCGCGCCGCCTTCTTTAGGCACTTAGTTTTCACGTGACATTCCCGCGCGGGATTTCCCACTATCTACTCGTGGACTACAGGTATCATTCAGATAAACTTACTTTTCTCTAACAAAAGTAAAGTTAATATATCGGCCATATAGTCTAATAAACTAAGCTTCTCGGCCTAACCAAAGAGCGCTGGAATTACATCTAGATTACTATTTAGCTCGAGTTATGTATCCCCCTTACTTTTACTTAGTCATCTACTACCGTGATTACAAACTTGTAATTAACTCAAATGTTTATCTTTCTACTGTGTGAAAGTATTAGTAATTAAGATATTAGGTCCTCGATCATAGTCTCCTTATTCCGACTCCCCTTCTACATTTACACCAACTTGTACAGACTCCTTCCGCGATGCAAAAGGATTATGTACCCTGAACACTACCACATAATACCGTACAATCGAACCTAGACGCCCACTAAAACAACATTTTCTCTCTATTTCGCCAAACTCCCATCTTCCCAACCAACCTAAAACCCAAGATTAATCATAATCCTCTGCAACTCCTCCTTCGCCTTCTCAGCCCCCTTATCCAACGGCATAACCTTCGGAAACACCGTATACGGCGTCGGACACTTCGGCTGTTCCGCCGGCACCATCTTCGTAAACGCCAGTCTCATAGTTTCCATGTCGCGCGGATCCCGACGGACATCAATACCAAGTGCCTTCGCCACATCTGCGCAATATATGATAAGTGCGCCCAAACCCGCAGCAATGGCAGTAGCGACAGAACTACCAGTGACTTCCTTTCCGCTAGCGTGATTTTCGACTTTCTCGCCAGGTAGCGCGAATTCGATGGAGCCGTCGCTGTTCATGTCTGAGGGTTTGCCGTAGCTGGTTGAGGAGCCGATGCGGATGACGCCTTGGATGCCCATAGGGAGGAAGGTTTTGTAGTCGAGGGTGGAGCCTTGATCGTGGAGCGAGGCGAAGAGGATCTTCTTTTGGGCAATGGCTTTGCCGATTGCCTCGCGGAAAAGCTGGACGTCGTCGGGGTTGATCTTGGCTTGTGCGTCGGATTGGAAGGACCAGCTCATGGAGATGATGTCGGCCTTGCAGGTTTCTACTGCCCAGGTTATGGCCTGATTGTATGTTAGTGGTGTGTATTAGATGGTGTTTAGGATGTTCAATACCTCAGCACATGATTTTACAGTAAATCTCGCGCCAGTGGTGTTTCTACCTGCATCGTTGACTCGTATCGCGAAGAGTCGAACGTTAGGACACACCCTGTTGATGAAATCGGCCATAGTATTGCCATGTCCACCAGGACCAACAAAATATTGCCGAAACTCAGAATCCTCCAGTGTAGATTCGTAGAATGAGGTTCCGCCTGCGACTTTGTATTTGGACCTGTAGCTTCTTCCTCCGTTATTTGACCCGTTTTGCCTTGATGTATTCAAATCTTCAACTCCGTGGTCTATTGAAACCCCATCATCGATCAGGGCAACTCTGACCTCTGGCACAATCCTTTTGTTGTTTGCATCCTTGAAAGTGTAGTTGTCAAGACTCAGATTGAACCCATCCATTTCGCTTAGCCATAGGTGCCTGTCATGAAGAATTAGTACTGATAAGCTCCTGGAAGCTCCCTTACAAAGGCAGCCTATGCTGGAACTTACTGAGGCCGACCTGATGATCCACCTAAACCCTTTCCATGGTCCTTGTTGTTGCCTTCTGTGTCCAACGAGACCCGTCGGGGAAAGATCTGAAGTCCCGGTTTTCGATTAGTGAGCCTTTGAATGAAACTTTCCACATATTGGTTGAGAGCCTCCTCGCGGTCGTTCCCCTAAAACAATTTAGCATATTTAATTGCCGGCAACATACAAAATGGGATGACCCATACCATGTATATAATTAGATTAATCTTTTCGAGCTAGAAGTTCCACGTGTCAGATCACCTTACGAAAAGCCTACTCTAGTTGGAATGCACTCACATTTTCAAGTCTGCATAGCCCGTCTTCACACGCCCATCCCTGGAGAACCGATCTACTCCCGCTCCAGTACAAATTCAAAATTTTCACATCGGGAGCACCGTTAATAATAGTATCGCTGCCAATATCAAGTTTCCTCCAGTCAAACTCATCAAGCTGGAATCCAGAGAGAGCTGCCTCGATGAAGCTGTCACCGTGTGGTCTCGGGCATATATCGTCTACCCTGACGCGAAAGATTTTCCAGATGCCTTTTCCTTTGAGCCACTCAAATACGCTTGCGTACACATCTGAGTATCCTTGTCTGTCGAAAATATTGGATTGTGTGACAGAGGCGCTTGATGAATGCTTCTGTGCTGAAGGGACTGGTGGGAGGCGGAGATACTCTAGAACCGTTTCGTATTGTATGTTGCAGAAATCCAAGTGATCGAGCCACTCTGCGGTGATGGGTTCCCGCACGGCGCTCAGGTCAAATTCAATGTTTCGTTCTATTTACTTGTGAGCTTCAAGAACAAATAGGTAAATCACACCCGGTGTGTAAGGTATATCACACCACATTTGACTGCACATACCTTTTCTTTTGTCGGGATACAGATAGTCTAAACGTTGACGTCTGGTCTTTCTAGTCTTGCCTTTTTGACCAATGTTACCAATACAGCATTCTTTGAACATTTCTTCGACCGAGCGTCGCTCGGGTGAAGGAGTTCCAACCATGCAGCCCATGATGAGAACCTGATACGGAGTCACGTTCTTGATCAAAGAATAAATTCCTTGTGGGTGTTTTTCAAGAAGCAACTCGATCATGCGTACCAAATTCTGGAGAGGATCCATCGCCGATTCAGCTTGGTTAAATCGGCTCACGGCAGAATGAAGAAGAGTCTCTCCTTTTTCGTCTCGTTTTTCAAGCAGATATAAATGCGGCTGAGTCTTTACGGGTAACGGTTGATTTAACTCTGTCGGCTTGTGTGGGTTTAGCTCTTGAGTGCTATGGACGCCCTCCTGAGGCTCCTCTTTCTCCTGACAGCACCAATCTACAAGACTCTCGAACGTGGCGAGGTTAGAATCTACCTGGGAGTCTTTAAGCAGCAGATGCAGCAATTTTGATTTTTCCATCAGATCTACCAGCGTCTTGGCGATTGTCTCGTTTCGACTCTTGATCTTGTCTAATTCTCCTGGGGCCGTAGCCAGCATTTTATGAGCGCAAACTTCATTCTTCCCACTGGGAGCACTGCTATGATCAGATGGGTGATTGGCAAGCTGAATCTGCTCCGTGAATACTGGATCCAGTCTGAAGCTGCAATCTTTCGATTGTAGCGATGCACAGGAGACCGGCTCTAAACCCTTCAGCGTCTTATCAGGAAGTAACAGTTTCTGGAACCAGTCCACCACTTGCAGACGTCCCGAACTAATCGCATATTGCATCGGAGTAAGGGAACTATCATTTGGCTCGGTCAGTCGCTCGACGCACTTCATCACTACCCATTCGAAAAGCCTTCTGTGGGGCATAGATTGGTCGTAATCAGATTCCTCAAACCCTTCGAGGGCATCTTCTAATGACTCGTTCAGCTGCCCAGATTGACCGCAATCTTCAAACGACTCTTCTGACATCTCATCGTCCGCCTGAAATTTCGGCACGTCCCCGATGATGTAGTGAAGTATGTTCTGGTCGGAGTCCCCCTTCTGATTAAGAAACTTAAGGTAAGGTTGCATTTGATTTGTCAAGTCATGTTGCACATCCAGCTTTAGGATTTCGGCAAAGCCCTCGGTCGTCTTCTTTCTCATTTCTATCAGGTTGGACTTCTTTCTGGAGCCATGGACGGCATTCTTGGGGGTTTTCCCGCCGGCCTTGAGTCCATGTTGCGACATGATGAGGATGAGGTATACAATATGCGGAGCTATGGCATTGAGTGGCCGTTGCGAGGTGGTTTGAGTGTGTGATTGACAGCAAGTCGCAGGCGTGACCAGAAGACTCGGAACCTTCGAACCCTTCGACACGCCGCTTATTGAGGCGCATGTACGAGCGTCGATTATAAAATCTGGGACGGTATGTATCATTCTGGATGCCCACAGGTGCATGATGCATTGGAGAGAGATAGCCTTGTCATAGCCTTGTCACCTCGCCGTCCTGGCTGGATCTACGGAGGTACCTACTTGTTCCAGATGGGAACAGAAACCAGGAACAATACTCCGTATGGGTTTTGCGGTTTGGTTCTACAGCCTCGCTTTGCATTACCTGCCATTTAACGTATAACGACGCATATTCCCAGCACCAGCACCCGCTTCTTGCTCCTAAAATCTCAAAAACCACAGTCTGAAAGACATCGCCCGGCAACGCCAGATACCCTCATTTCCAAATTACTATGGAAGCCCACAATCAACCCTTGCAAACGGCGGAGGAGCCCGACAACGTGGCTCTGGTGCAGTTCGTTTCAGTGCGCGACGACACGCGATTTCACGAATCCGACGAGGCTGAAGACCGGTTTATCGTCGACGATTTCTGCGCGGGCCTGCTTCTCCGGGTCGAAGTCACTGATGTGGTGCCGGGGACTCTGACGCCGGGAGGGGACCCCGCCACGCTGGTGTTGTTGAAGAGCTCGTTCCTGGGCTTCACCAGCCAGCGGCGCTTTCGCGAAGTCGAGCTGATCATCAACTTCTTCGACGCTCAAAGCAGCCCCTATCACGACCCGGAAGTGGTCGACCTCTGGCCCGATGGCGAATACACATACCGATCGTCCGAAAGACAAGTGGAAAACACCATAAACGCGTCGGCCATGGCAGGAGGGAGCTTTGCTGGCGCCAGCACCAGCGTCGGCATGCTGTGGGAGCGCACGACGAGCACGACGCAGGAAGATGCGGCGCTCATGACGGGGGCGACGTGGAGAGGGCCAAGATCTGGAAGACGAAACGGGGTGAGGCTCTTCCTGAGCGAGAATGCCAGTCAGCCGACGGGGATTGTCACTGAAGTCCACTCGTCGGTCCTTTTGCGGCAGAAAAAGCAAGACCGGCAATTGACCGCCGAGGTCAAAGTCACCGCCCAGGGCGGTCAGCGATTTAGGGCTGAGTGGCTCTACCGCCGACTGAGCGGGACGAGGACCATCAGCGCTCCCGCCTTCACTCCTCGCAAAACATCCAAATCGGCCAAAGTCAACAACAACTTTCTGGACAACGAAGATCTGACGGCACTCAGCGGGATTCCGCCAAAGCAAACAATTGCAGATGTCTAGACAGCCTCCTCGACGACCTACTCGACAACAAAAGACTTGACGGCGCTCAGGCGTCCCACAATGGCGAACGATTGCGGACGTGAGGAGGCTCAGCTTGCTCAAATGCTCAGCGTGGCATCGAGAGGACATGACACGACGATCTCGGCCATTTCCCCCCTCTTTTCCTATTTCCTCTTCTCCATTTCAATATCTATCTCAGGTCAACCACACCTATCTCTCAAACGAATCACATCAACGTTATAGACAACCATTCCTACCTAGTGCCTATGACCGGGAAACACTTCATACATTTCAGCCAAGCACGCGTGAGAAGACAATCTTTCTCTTGCTAAATTTCCGTGCCACGAGGGCTAGTGGGGGCTATACTTCCAGAAACGGTCTTCTCCCGTCCGCAGCCTCGTGCGGCATGGTTCCTCTCGTGGTCTCATTCGTCGCCGTGCAGTGCAGGGTAATTCAGGGCCCGCTCCAAAGAAATCAATAATCAAATGCGCATACCCGAGGGAGTCTGGCCTGGGTTTGTGCAGTCTTGTGAAGGTCGCGCTGCATGGTGGCGAGGTCACTGTCATGGTCTGCTCCAATCCTCTTCGTCGAATGATGCCTAGGCCTTCCTGAGCTCGTTTCAGCATTTGCCAATTTCGATGCGGCTGAGATACTCTAGACACACCCACTGATTCTTTAGCTGTCTCCTTATACTTTGGGCGTCACGAGAAGCAAGAAATTGTGAGCAGCATACTCCTCCAGCCTGCTGAACGGGACACTTTGTACGCAATGTCGTCTATGAGACGGACGAAGTCGACATATGAACGGACAGAAACTCTCGCTAGACCGTCAAGCATTAGCAGCAATGACCGTCCATCGAACAACACGCACATCAGCGATGACATCCAAACGTACTTGGAGCGGTCTTCAAAGTCCATGATTCGTAAACAATATAGGTCAGTCGATACTCGAAGACTGAAGCTCCATTTCCACTGAAGGAACCGTAGTATTTGGCTCGTTGGCGTTCCAGATTGTCCGCCCAACACCAGTGATCATCCGTTCAGTACAACAAACATCATTCCTCAGTTTGTTCCAACATCCAATGTTTATAATTTTGCTATCCTCCCCGATCCGGTACATGACACAGACCAGTCGCTCACTTCCTACATCAATTCGAAGGCATTTCAACTATTGCGTCAGTGGTCTGATTCTCCGACAGACTCAAAAGAGGTAATCACTGAAACTCCAGCTTGGAATATTCTTCCTGTCGAGGTCATCTGACGGCCGCTCCAGTGGAATGAATTGCTGCTTATCGGCTATGGCCTTGGGGGTGTGATACTAAAGCAGGTACGTGCACACTTACTTCTTCTTTGCTCCAATATCAAAGCTCCATACCTCGTCCTGTATGTGATGATTCAAGACCCATCGATACTAGATGGAATCGGTGGAAACATTGACGCGTGACTTCTAAGCTCCGCGGTGCCAAGTTGACGTACTTTATCACACGACGAGACTAAGCTATCTACATAGGCGATTATTCTTGGTTTACGCGACGGGACATATGTGAAAGTAATCCTCCGAATATCAAATTTGGTAGGCAATTGGATCACTTCCATGCGTCGTTCCCCTTACTGACATGGGCTTCCAAGATTTTCTGGAACGCAAGTGATAGCGCGAGCATACTCTCAGATCAATATGCGACATTATTTCGAAAATATTCTGCTAATGGTAAAGAGATACCATACACTCTCTATTCTCCAGTTATAAGTGATCAGATATCTGTTATTTTGGAAGACTACAAGTGTGTTTCGAGAAGATTTCGAACTCGGGACTTCACCAGTCCTACACCTCCAACATCACTAAAATTCGAGGTGAGGTCTTGACTCTGCGTAACCATTCTTGGTCTAACTGGTACAGAATGTTGTTATCGCTACAGAACCTACAAAGTCCATCTCAAGGGCCACTCCTGTTAAAGACTTTTTGACGCGTGAACTTGCTAGTGCCTCCCAAGACGTAATGATTACCCCCAGTGCCCAGCTATAATTTTGAGAGTATGAATCTGACAGATAATCCAGAATGCTCAATGCCACGAGTTCCTACTTCAGATCGATCCATTCGACAAAGCAAACCCACAAGGACCCACTGGCCTACCGTTTATCAAACGTGATGTGGCATACCTGCATCATCTTGCAAAGTTCGTTGACGATGCAGACCAAAGGACGATAATCAAGGTCGTTGATATACAAGGACTTGGCGAGTCAAATGTTCTCCACTCTCTTGCAAGAGAATTCTCCAAAGATGACACCAAAACCGTGATCGAATTGTCCAGAAGTTCTTGTATCTCGTTTTCGAAACCCGAAGCTGCTCTACAGTGCTCGTTTATTAGCGAGATCTTGTTGCAACGACCATACTTGTATTCGCGAATTGAGTATTTCATCAAGCGCGGCTCAGAATATGGGTTCGGCGAGACTCGGCTTTTGAGCGTTCTTCTCTCTGCGATATTGAATCTCAAGTTTCTGCAAATTGTTGTCATCATTGATGACTTCAAGGCGTTAACAACACGATTCAACGACGCATTCAAGGCGTTGATGCATATGGCTAGCTCTGTAGAATCTAACTTGAAAGTTGTAGTCAGCGGTGACCGCGAAGGTGCGCAATTGATCGAACAAGCAGAAGTCATCTTTGATATGGAAGAAGATCGACCTGGGAACGAAGCTTTGCAAGCTCAATTTGGTAGTTTCTTCGCTACTCAGCCAGCCTTGTTACCCGGCTGCGAATTGGTCTGTGACAAGTTATGGAAGATGAATCGCACCAAGTTAGAGTCATTCATGATTCTAAAGCTCCTCTCGCGGTCCGGTATTATATCGGCACCTTCTGCACTTCTTAGACACATAGATATGGTTCCAAGGAAGACGGTCAAGATATACGATTACTTTTGGTCAAGCCTTCAGTCTAGACCCGCCGAGACGACAGGTTGGGCAGTGGACTGCCTTTCATGGGTTTTTCTATCGGCTCGCCCGTTGCGAGAACAAGAAGTAGCGTGTGGTGCTGCTATTTCATCCGCTTCAGAACTCGGAAGAATTCCTCAGCTGAACGAATATTTGTCCGCAGACTTGTTTTCAGATTTGGATAGGTATGCTGGCGTGTTTGTGAAGCAGGAAGATGGTTGCATTCTGCCTTTTCACAATAGCGCTTCCGACTTTTTAGGCTTTAATAGTGTTCAAGCTCGAGGTGCTAAGTCATGGCAGGATAAATTTCACACACACGCAAGTCTCACAAAGCATTGCCTCGAATACATATCAATTTTTGTGGAGGACGTAGAGATCATTCGCCAGGAATTGACCGGAGAAACCCAGCACTTGAAGATTCCCGACACTCCCGAGCATTCTTTTCTCTCCTACGCATGTATATTCTGGCCAAATCATTATTTCGAAGCCAGAACGCAATTCGGGCAAAATTCTGAAGCCGTCCAACGCCTAAACGTTCAGATCATGAAGTTTTTAGCTTCTTCTGCGATGGTGAAGTGGTATGAGCTATATAGAGCAAATATCCCGCCCTTAGTTAATTCGGATCGCTACGAGCTCACGCCACTCGCGGTTTCTACCGACCTTGGATTGGTGGAGATCTCCCTACAGCTGCTTGATGAGTTTCGCCCACCGTTGAACGTTGCAGAACTAGATGCGTGTCTAGATGTGGCGTTGAAGCGCCGAGTTTTTCCAGTCGCGAAACGCCTCCTGGAACTGAAAGCGAGGGGAAACAACGCTCTACATCTGGCTGCGGAAATTGGGAATGCTTCTTTAATTGACGACATCTTAGCCAATGGGATTGAGATCGATTCTGTAGATGACTACGGGTCCACGGCCTTGCACGTTGCTGTTCAATACAGACATCTCGAGGTAGCGAAAACTCTCCTGCGACTTCAATCTGTGCGGCCCCAGGCTGAAACTATTGATGACACGGGAGTCGCATCTGTTATGCTGCAACTAGGGCGGAATGGGAACTCCATTTTACACTCTGCCTGCTTGGGCGGAGACCTAGAGATCGTGCGATGGGTCATGGCCACAGAACCACACCTTGAAGTGACCAAGCGCAATCGGTTCGAGGAGACACCACTTCACCTTGCGGCTGCCTTTGGTCACACAGAAGTCGTGGAGTTCCTGCAAAGTATTGACGCCGACGTCCAGGCGATGAACACAGACGGTAATTCTCCGTTGGAATTAGCTAGTAGAGGCGGTCACATGAGTGTCTTGACCTTGCTTCTTGAAACGACCCAACCCAAAACTGCAAATGCTGCTTTCCGCTTTGCTGCTAAGCATGGAGATTTGTTGATGATTAAGAGCTTATTGGCGGCAGAACGCGTGACTCAAGACAACACGCTGCCACTGGCAGATAATCGTGGCCACGCGCTGTACCTCGCAGCTAGTCATGGCCATGCAAATGTGGTTGAGTACTTGTTGAAATCTGGATCAGACCCTAATGAGCGTAAGAATTCAAACTCGCGTAGATCTCCATTGGCTGAAGCCGCGTACGAGGGTCATACGCATGTTATCCAAAGGCTTCTTGTTGGGGGTGCAAACATAAATTTAGCCTCGGGCTCGAGTGGCGATACTCCTCTTCACTATGCTGCTTCTCGAGGCAAAGAACAAGCAGTCTCAGAGCTGTTAAAATTCAAATCCTGCAACCTAAATGCACGTAATGGAGACAAGGCCACGCCGCTGCACCTCTCAGTGATGCATCCCCAAGTCGTCGAGCGCCTGCTCATTACTGGTGCCGATCAGCGCATACTGGACGATGGAGATTCAACGCCGTTGCATAAGGCAGTTAAAATTGGATGTCTGGAGTCAGTCAAGCTTCTTTTGAGATTTGGTGCTGACGATACGTCTCTTGATGGCAGCGGTCTAAATCCTGTGAATCTCGCAATTTTGCATCCGCATCCCTTCGTTGCGAGCTTCTTGCTGCAACGGAATAGGGACCTCATCAACATCAAAGGTGGCGATGGGCAAACACCTCTGCATTATGCTGCTCGAACTGAGCATGAAGACTTGATTGCCGAGCTCATTGGTATGGGGGCCGATGTGGAAGCGGCTGACGACGAAGGCTGTAGTCCACTTCACCTCGCTGCGAAAAATGGAAAAGAAGTTGCGGTTAGGCAGCTCTTAGGGTATAAGGCAGCTCCAGACACTGTAGACAGCAGTGGGCGTACCGCTCTACATCATGCGGCAGCCAGTGGAAACCTTAATATTTCAGCTCAATTGCTCGAATTTGACATACTTATCAATCGAGTAGACAGTGAAGGAAAGTCTCCTTTGTGGCTTGCTTGTTATGCAGGTCAGCTTGACATCGTCCAGCAGCTTTTAAACAAAGGAGGAGTATCATCTTCAAATGACGAAAAGAATTGGACCCCATTGCACGCAGCGTATGATTCTCCAGAGGTTGTTAAGCTTCTTCTTAATCGAGAGTTCAACGATGAAAAAGGCAATCTTGACGGGCTTGGCATCGATGATAGGACAGACGATGGGTTTACAGCTTTGATGTTCGCTGTAGCTTACTCTGCCCCAGATGTTGTGAAGATCTTGATAGACGCCAAAGCAAATCTCGAAGTACGGAGTACTAGTGACTCCACGGCCTTACATTACGCCACTAGTGATGTTGATATGGTGAAAATTCTGGTGGAAGGCGGGGCAGATGTGCACGCGAGAGGCGGGATACCACAACCGGAGACGTGTCTCGAAACGGCTGCAAGAGCAGGAGAACATGAATCAGTGTTGTTTCTTCTAGAAAAATTCACAGGGCCGACGGTATCACCAGCTTCAGCGTGGGCTGCAGAGGAGTTACTCGAAGCTCTTGTTGCCACATCCGACGAGACTTGCATTACACATCTCATCAGTAAGTCCGACGCCATGGTGAATATCAAACTTGATGGCGGCTATACCGCTCTGCAGAAAATGCTTGACAAGGAAAATGTGTCAGCAGCTCTGTGCATGATCGAAAAGGGAGCTGATCCCTGGGAATTTGGTGGGCCTTTTCTATCTGCTATACATCAAGCAACGCATATGAGAGTCATTTCGGTCGAAGATAGCACTATTCAATCGGTTCTTGAAAAGGCAATATCGAAGCCTCATTACTCCACATCTGAAGCGCTGCTGAAATTCATTCAATTGGCGTTTGAGCTCGAGAACTCGGAGTTATGGAACGTCTTCCCAAATCGTGCAGAGATTTTGCACAACGTTAGGGATCGCGATGGCTGGGGACTGGAAGATTTTTCTGCTCGAGCGAAGCATCCCTATGGTCTTATAGAAAGAGGCCTGGAACCAAATTCGGACGGATTCTCGACACCAAGTACTTGGGTGCAACCCGAAGCATGGTCCATCAGTGGAAAAGATAAGAATTTGGAGTTTGAAATCGCGCCGGACGGGCTCGAGGTCGAGGCAACAAGTAAGTCAAGTTAATTTAATTACCTAGCAACGAGGAACTGGGCTCTACTAATAATCACGACCAGGCACATCTTACAGAATGTCATTCCGAGCCAACCACCCCTTCCCGCCCCGCAAATCCGGCGTCGATTATTTCGAAATCACGATCTTGGAAGGCGAACCGGGCCAGAAATCTACAACGGTGACGATTGGACTGTGCAGCGAGTTTGCAAACATGTCTGTCAATTTCGCCGGGCACAGACAGTTTTCCATCGGATACCATAGCGATGACGGGAGGATCTACGATAGCACTGATGATCGTGGAGATGAGAAAATGCATACTCCTGCGGGCCAATGCAAGGTTTTTGGGAGGGGGGATGTGGTGGGGTGTGGTGTTGATTGGGATAGGGAGGAGTGCTTTTTTACGCTGAATGGGGTGGTGTTGTGTAAGTCCTTTTCCCCGTCCCCGAGATTTTGTGAACTTGTCTGGTATGTGAGGTTCTGGGTGCTGATGTGTGCTAGATTCGGCGAAGAGTAAAGTCATCAGGAGGAAACTTTATCCGATGATCTCGTTGAAGAGGGGGGACGAGGGGGTGAGGGTTAAGGTTAGAGGGGGGTTTGGGGGGGAGGTGGTGTTTAATCTTGCGTCTAGGGGAAAAGAGGTGAAAGTTGAGGGGGGTGGGTTGGAGTGATGGGGTGTGCTTTGTAATATTCAAGAGTGGGGAGGTTTGATTGGAATTATCCTGCGAAGTTCTTTCGGGATAGGGAGGTGGTGAGGATTTTGTGTTTTGTAATATCTCGAGGGAGTTAACGGTAACTTCTACTCAAAACCTGTGTTGAAATATGAAAGCAGGAGGAGTTACCTATCTCGAGCGCTGTTTGAGCGTAAAGATAACCGGAGTTTTAAAGGGTATTGTCGAAATCAAATCAGAAAACTTTCCGAAAGCCAGAGTTAGTCTCCCTGATACCTTGAGAAGTAATACGTCTATAACATAAACGTCCTAAATAAATCTAGTTTTAACATCACGTACGTCACTTTTATACCCTGTTAGTGTTTTGCGATACTAACGGGACTCAACTCTCCCAGGTTTAGTCACGTCAGGCAACGAGCAGATCATCATTACTCTGTAATAAGAGGTGTTTTTCTTTTTCAAGATTGCAGCATAACGCCGCGGCACCTATAGCTAGTCTATGGCTCGACGATAGGAGAGGAAGAAGAGAGAGGTTGTTTGGGGGGCGCGGGGTGAAGATGTGATTGCTATTACGGCGCACTGAGGTGCTACTGTGTGGTATTACCGTCGTGTAAGCTGCAAATGTGAGTGAGCAGGGGAAACATTGGCCGAGTGCGGAAAGGAAAGAGGATTGTTGTGGCGCGGGAGCTTGTGTGTAGTGAGGGATGGGTTGTGTAAATGAAGTGGAGTGTAAGGTACCGTGTTTATGGAGTAGTTGGTCGGATTACATTATTGATGTTAAATGAGGTTTGTTTTCTTCTTATATGGTTCTTGTTAGACAAATCTGTACTGGTTTGGACTTTGATGGTATTAAGGGTTCGGGGGGTTGAGGGTGTGTTGTATAAGTGCTGAGAGAACAGAGTCTGTGAAGGATGAATGATTATGCGGAATGTTACATTATCTTTTTTCTTGGTGTGTTCCATCCTAGATTATTATACCATCATGTCGCACATTTATTAACGTGTCTAATAACACTACACTCCTCTTTCTCGAAACACCACTTCCCACGAAATACCCCTTTACCTCACATCCACCCTCCAATTACCACGTTCTTTTTTGATCAGCCAAAACATTTCCCTCTCAAATATCTTCCCAAAACTCAACTATTCTCCCTCTCCTTCTCCATCGCCCGTTCCAAATCTCCTAATTCCTTTTCCAAGCCACTTAGTTCTTCTTTAACTCTTTTCTCCCTCTCATCCCCTCCAAAATCTAAACCATGACCTCCAACATCCATATCGCCGGACTGAATACGATTTACACCCCTCTTCCCCTCTCCAACACCCTTTTCCAACCCCTCCATGCCACACCCCTCCAAACCCACAATCTCCCCTCTATAATCCACAACCAAACCTCCCTGCACGCCACTATCAGCAACCCAGCTCCCCGCCCTCTCCTTCCCCTCTCTCATCGCTATCTCTCTTCTCTCCTCCTGCCGTTCCTCCCTCCGTCTACACCGTCCACAAACCCCCTCCCCCCTCAAAGTCTGATCCACGATCTTAAAATCCGGACACGTGGTATCGAATTTCCCTTCCGCGGTACCTTCTCGAAGGAGAACAGCTTCGTGACGGTTGCTGAGACAGGTTTTGAGCGTGAAGCTGTTTAGTTTTGGAGCAGGGGACTGGGAGAGGTTGAGGGATGCGAGGGCGAGTGTTGTGAGAGGGGAGTGGATCGGCAACGTAGAATTCGTAGGGAACAATGGTTTAGAACTTATGCTTGTCTCTTTTTTGTTAGGTGAAAGAGGGGCAGGTAGTAGAGATTTTGAAGGGGAGAGCGGAGGTGGTTTTAGTGGTGAGAGTGAGGGTGAAAGAGAGGATGGGGATTGTAGTTCTTCCGAGGATTGCGGACGGTGTGTTAACGGAAAGCGCGCGTGGTAACAGGTGTATTTTCCTATTTTGGCGAGGCAGTCGCATGTTGGGTAGGTGTAGGTTTTGGGGCTGATGGTGATGGTGAGTTTGTGTTTGGAACTTGGTGTACAGTATTCGAGATGAGGTATGGGTTGGCGGGTTGCGATTTGAGTTTGATATACAACGTCGAAGTCGACTCAGTGGATGAAGTGAGGATTGGTCGTGGTGTCGAGGAGGTGTAGCTGGGAATTTGATGTTGAGGATTCGTGATACTGCTCGTGAATAGAAAACGCGTGGTGAGCTACTCAAGGCGCGACGCTGACCGTGATGAGTCCCGCAGTGATCCGAGTATAGACAGAGAAATGTCGTGAGTCGATTGGAAGTGAGAACGAATTTGAGGTCCCAACCTTCAAAGCTGATGTTGATCAACCTACAAAGACGATACGAAATAGGAAAAGTCGATCTTGTCCTAGGCAACCAGTAACCATTATCGACTCAATTTGGCGAAACGGTGACCGCGTTAAAACAATTCTATTCACTAGCTATTCCTATTTTCCCATCAAACCTAATTGCTACACGCACAGCCAATCCTTATTTCCATTTCTCGTCCGATATCATACAGCATCCAGGTACATTCATCGCCATCCAACAATACGCAAACAGCAACAAACATATAAT